GTTTAATTTTGATATTTATAGGTGACAACCAATGAAAACATCAAATCTGGTATCTCAGAAAATTAGAATATTCTAAAGGCCAATGAAAAAATGTTTGTTTCTCTAATGTTGGCCAACTGAAAAAAATGAACATGAAAAGAATGTGCATGTATAGCACTCAATACTTAGTCGGGGCTCCTTTTGCCTCAATAACTGCAGTAATGCGGCGTGGCATGGACTCGATCAGTCTGTGGCACTGCTCAGGTGTTATGAGAGCCCAGGTTGCTCTGATAGTCGTCTTCAGCTCCTCTGCATTGTTGGGTCTAGCGTATTGCATCCTCCGCTTCACAATACCCCATAGATTTTCTATGGGGTTAAGGTCAGGCGAGTTTGCTGGCCAATCAAGGACAGGGATACCATGGTCCTTGAACCAGGTGCTGGTGGTTTTGGCACTGTGTGCAGGTGCCAAGTCCTGTTGAAAGGTGAAGTCTGCATCCCCATAAAGTTGGTCAGCAGCAGGAAGCATGAAGTGCTCTAAAACTTCCTGGTAGACGGCTGCATTGACCCTGGACCTCAGGAAACAGAGTGGGCCAACACCGGCAGATGACATGGCACCCCACACCATCACTGACGGTGGAAACTTTACACTGGACCTCATGCAACGTGGATTCTGTGCTTCTCCGCTCTTCCTCCAGACTCTGGGTCCTTGATTTCCAAAGGAAATGCAGAACTTGCTTTCATCAGAAAACATAACTTTGGACCACTCAGCATCAGTCCAGTCCTTTTTGTCCTTGGCCCAGGCGAGACGCTTCTTGCGCTGTTTCTTGTTCAAGAGTGGCTTGACACACGGAATGCGACACCTGAATCCCATGTCTTTCATGAGTCTCCTCGTGGTGGTTCTTGAAGCGCTGACTCCAGCTGCAGTCCACTCTTTGTGGATCTCCCCCACATTTTTGAATGGGTTTGTCGTCACAATTCTCTGCAGGGTGCGGTTATCCCTAGAGCTTGTACACTTTTTTCTACCACATTTTTTCCGTCCCTTCGCCTGTCTGTTAATGTGCTTGGACACAGAGCTCTGCGAACAGCCAGCTTCTTTAGCAATCACCTTTTGTGTCTTGCCCTCCTTGTGCAAGGTGTCAATGATTGTCTTTTGGACAGCTGTTAAGTCAGAAGTCTTCCCCATGATTGTGGTGCCTTCAAAACAAGACTGAGGGACCTTTTAAAGGCCTTTGCAGGTGTTTTGAGTAAATCAGCTGATTAGAGTGGCAGCAGGTGTCTTCTATATTCAGCCTTTTCAGAATATTCTAATTTTTTGAGATACCAAATTTGGAGTTTTCATTAGTTGTCACTTATGAATATCAAATTTAAATGTAATGAACATTGGAAATACATTGGTCTGTGTGCATTGCATGAATATAATGTACAAGTTTCACGTTTTGAATGGAATTACTGAAATATTTTCAACCTTTTGATGATATTCTAATTTACTGGCCAGCACCTGTAGCTCAGGAGTGTCAAATTTCAGTCCTCGAGGGCCGGTATCTTTCATCTTTTTGCCGTTTCCCTGTTCCAACGCAGTTGAATCACCTGTGCACTAGCTCAACAAGCTTTCTAGAAGCTGGTTAATCACATGCTAATTGAAAAACAGGGAAAACACTAAAACATGTGGGATAGCAGCCCTCGAGGACCAGAGTTTGACACGTCGTCGTTGTCTTCCTCCGCTTATCCGTGTCCGGGTCGCGGGGGCAGCATCCCAACTAGGGAGCTCCAGACCGTCTTCTCCCCAGCCTTCTCCACCAGCTCCTCCGGCAGGACCCCAAGGCGTTCCTGGACCAGACTGGAGATGTAACCTCTCCAACGTGTCCTGGGTCAACCCGGGGACCTCCTGCCGGCAGGACATGCCAGAAACACCTCCCCAGAGAGGCGTCCAGGAGGCATCCTGACCAGACGCCCAATTCACCTCAACTGACTCCTTTCGATCCGGAGGAGCAGCGGTTCTACTCCGAGTCCCTCCCGAATGTCCGTGCTCCTCACCCTATCTCTAAAGCCTGGTTTATGCTTCTCCGTCAGCTCCGCAAGGGACAGACACGCACGGATTGACGGAAGCGTTTTGCTCTTTTACTTCTCCGTCTCCTGGAGAGTGTTGCAAAGCAATTGCCCGGCAGGACAACAGAGGGCGTAGCACTGTTCTGTGGTATCCTGTCATGTATCGGTCCAAGATCGTGTGTTTATATTGTGTTTTTTTGTGTATATAAGAGACTTTTAACACGGACATATTTGTCTCTCATTCTCCCACCGCTTCATGTGCTCCCCACCTCTAAACCCACGTTTCCTGTCATTTCTGTCCACAAATAAAACACTTGCTGCGCATCTTTTCACTCCTCCAGTCACAGGAGGATGAAACGTTCATATTTTTAGAGTTTTTTTCGCGAGGTATTCTTTAAGCTTCTCCGTATCTGCCGCTAGTTATCCTCAGCTCTCTTTGCAATGGCGGTGCTGTAAACAGCAGCGTCCTGACCAATCACAAGCTTGCGTAATTCGTCTCGTTCGACGGATGTTTAAAAAAGTGGGCTCGACTCCGTACGTACTTGCGTGCCTGCCGGAGCCCTACGCAAGGACGAATAATGGCATTGTTTGTCTCCGCACTGATGCAGACGGAGAAGCATAAATCAGGCTTAAGGCTGAGCCCGGCCACCCTACGGAAGAAACTCATTTCGGCCGTTTGTATCCGTGATCTCGTTCTTTCGGTCATTACCCAAAGCTCATGACCATAGATGAGGATTGGGACGTAGATCGACCGGTAAATCGAGAGCCTGGCTTTCTGGCTCAGCTCCCTCTTCACCACGACAGATCGGTTCAGCGTCCGCATCACTGCAGACACTGAACCAATCCGCCTGTCGATCTCCCGATCCCTACTACCCTCACTCGTGAACAAGACCCCGAGATACTTAAACTCATCCGCTTGAGGTAGGACCTCTCTCCCGACCCGGAGTTGGTAAGCCACCCTTTTCCGGTCGAGAACCATGGTCTCAGATTTGGAGGTGCTGATCTTCATCCCAGCCGCTTCACACTCGGCCGCAAACCTACCCAGCAAGAGCTGAAGGTCAGAGCTGGATGAAGCTAGGAGGACCACATCATCCGCAAAAAGCAGAAACGAGATTCCCCTGCCACCAAACTCTACACACTCCACACCACGGCTGCACCTAGAATTCTGTCCATAAAGGTAATGAACAGAACCGGTGACAAAGGGCAGCCCTGGCGGAGTCCAACCCTCACCGGGAACAGGTCCGACTTACTACCGGCTATGCGGACCAAACTCACGCTCCTCTGGTAAAGGGACTGAATGGCCCTTAACAGAAAGCCACCCATCCCATACTCCTGGAGCGTCCCCCACAGGATGCCCCTGGGGACACGGTCATAAGCCTTCTCCAAATCCACAAAGCACATGGATTGGTTGGGCAAACTCCCATGCCCCCTCCATCACCCCTGCAAGGGTATAGAGCTGGTCCACAGTTCCACGGCCAGGACAAAAACCACATTGCTCCTCCTCAATCTGAGACTCAACTATCGATCGGACCCTCCTCTCCAGTACCTTGGAGTAGACCTTTCCAGGGAGGCTGAGGAGTGTGATCCCAACTACAGTGGGAGAGTTTGACACCTGTGGTGTATATATATATATATATATATATATATATATATATATATATATATATATATATATATATTGTGGAGATAAAAAATAAACTGATAAATGAAGTGGGTTTTTTTTTCCACATTTGTCTAAAAACCTCTGCCTATTCTGTTTCAAACCAAAAGCAGCTATTGGGCCATCCGATTGTTGGTCTCACCAAACCACTGCACACCCCTGGGTCCTTTATTTACAACACACTCACTCACGTATTTAGCAACAGAACAACACTGGTGTGAGAGGTTTATGGCTCAATAATATCAGAGAAGAACCAGAGTCCCAAAAAGAAAACGCCATTTGAAATCGCGGACAACAAAAGACGTTTGGACCTCGAAAATAGTGACTGGTGTTTAGCGCTATCTTGTTTCGTCCATCTGTGCGGGTTTCCGATTCCGACGGAAGTGTCTCAGAGAAGATGACTGAGGGGAGGGATGAGTGTTCCGAGATCGTATTTGCATTCAAAACCTAGCTTGCTTGCAGATTCACTATAACAGCTTTAAATGTAAAGAGTAACAAACATGGTCATACATTACGTTAAAAGTAAATATTCAATATTGTACATTTCAGCAACCAGGTCTAGTGGAACCTGTAGACATAACTTGGTTAAATTAATTCAACATTTCAGTTCTTGCAGTGTTGTTTTCATTAGATTTAGTCAAAGGGTTAACGTAGCTGCTTATGCTTTTATTTATTTTTATTTAAATAAAAGCCCTCGGCTAAAACACATCAACAAATAAATAAACAAACAAACAAATAAATCTAAAAACTTATTTTTAAATAAGAATTTTAACAACTGGAATTCCCATAACAGCAAAGTTTTGGGAAAAATCGGGTATAATTTCTGTGCTGCTCGTGAAGTCCCCCATCGCTCCCAAGATGCAAACTTGTTGGCTAAACACAACATTCCCATGTGACCATGTGACCGAAAACACCCGACAGCATCACAAAGTGTATGAAAAATACTTCCTTTGTTCGTAAAGTACATTTATTATTATTTATAGCTTTAACAACTTGAGTATAGGGAGTCAGTCTGAACACAAAGTTCAGAGGCTGCCAACTTGTTTCCATATTTGATCCCAGTTCAAAGCAGAACGCCAGTGTTTGTCCAGAACAACTGAAAGTGGTGAGCACAGCTTTGTGTCTCGGTTCTGCTGCTTTAGAAGTTGAGGGGATTCCTTTCATGTGGGGAACAACCCTAAACAACCTGTTTTGATCCTTGAATAACTTCAAACGGGCCTTTATCCCGACCACAAGGATGCGCCACTGCCAACACAACCACAGCGACATCTGTGCTAAATAAACTAAAGCTGAGAAAAAATAATCACAGCACTCATCAAGTTTGCAGGTACTTTTATTCTTTCTTTATTTTGGTCGAGCACTGCTTTTGATAATCTCTCAGCAATGACTTGCTGTTTTCACTCCTGCCAAGTTGTTCCTGCTGGATATTTGAGGAACTTTTCCGTTAGACTCAGAGCAAATTGACTGCACCACAAAAATGGCACGTGATTACTGCAGACTCAACAGTCTTTATGTGGTAAAAAATCCTAAATAAAGTAGTATTTTACAAAACATTCAACAGTGGTTGTTCGGTTTTCCCTGCACGGGCAGCAGTGAATGTGCCTCAAAGTCCGAATTAGTTAAAAGTGTTGAGCACGTCTGCAGCCGTTCTGTTTAAAACCGTGTCTCACTTGTGTCCGTGTCTCTGACTCGTTACGAGCATCAGGATGAAAATGCCTGTAGAGGAAAGCCCAGCAGCGACGGTGATCCAGAACCTAGCAGAACTGGTGCCAGTCTCAGCAGGTCTCTCAGAGGGATCTCCAGCTGGCTGCTGCACGACAATAAATCTCCAAATGAGCTGCAGCCTGCAGTGAAACATGATGGCACAATCACACTTTCACTGTGGTTCGCAGAATTCCCAATGAAGTACAACTAAATTATCCCAAAAAAATCTTTAAAGTTTAAACAGAAATATACATGAAAGGAGAAAACTCAAACAGGAACCTGTAAGTGAAATATTAAAGAGCAAACAGCATGTAAATCTTTTTTCTAATTCAAATAAAATGCAGTCCAAAAATACTATTTGAAATGCTTATTGTGGATATTTTATTTTAAAACACATAACAGCAGAGTTTTTCTAGTAAAAAGTGACGTTTTTCAGCAAAGCCTCTAAAAAGGCTCTTTTTTCTAAAGCTGAACCTCTGACGTAACCAAAGACAGCTAGGCGCTGCCTCAGCTCAGTGTGGAGAGTGGGTAGTTTTAGGGTAGAGAGGCCATGTTATGGAGTCAGGGTGTGTTTACTAGTTTTGGATTGTGTTCATTTTGATAAACTATAGTTGGTGAAGGCTGTACCAACTCCAGCCTGTCCGGACATCGAGTCCCCGGGTTTTAAATAGGAGAAACAAGGCCTCGATCTCGCCTGAGGGCATTTTGTGCAGCTGAAAAGATGGGACTTCTGCAGCCCGCATCGGTCGGTACCGGGACAGGGAGGTCCGCACTGGGCTCCGGAGATCCGTGGCAGGGTTTAAAATATTAAATGTGGATTTCTGGAACTTGGATCGCCATCAGAACCAGGTTAGAACCAACTACCAGAAGAGACGCGCAGGCCAGTAGAGCTGGTTTCTGGGTCTGAACCAGATCAGAACTGCTGCGGACCTCCAGGAAAGGATCATGTGCAGCTTTTAAAAATACCAGCTCGACTGGCTCGCAGGTGTCTGGGTCGGATCTAGCTCATAGAAGCCCACGAGTTCCAGAACCGGGTGAAAGGCGTCTCTCTAAGCGCTAAGCTAAACGGATATTAACGAGTATGAGAAAGCTGACAGACGCTCATTAGTATTATTATAATAACTAACGATACTATTTTAATTGTCTGGTACATGATAGTAATCTGTACAATATTGTGATGTTAGCCCACGAGTTTAAGCTAACATGGTTAATTCACCTGCTTCTGCCCCGCTGTTCTCCACAATCTCCCTGCTTTGGCCGATCGTTTCTCCCTCAGGTTTGTCTCTGCTCTCTGGGGCGTGCAGCAAACTCATAACTTTATGGTTTGGTCCATCAGAAGTATAACTATAAACATTAAAAGTTTCCTCTGTGTCAGAGCCGCATTAGGATCCATATTTTTTTCTGGATTAAGCCAACAGGACTCCCTCAGCTGACGTCACTTGGTTTGACAAAACAAACATTTTTCTATTATGTTTCTCTTAACATTGGTTCATGGGAGTCTCAACCCTGCAATTTGCTCTTTAAGGTAGAAGGGATTAGAAACGGTAACGTTTTGAATTGTGCGACAAATGTTTCCATCCTGTCTTACTTTTCAGCTGTGTGCTTCTGAAGCAGGGGACAGAGCGGTACACCAGAAAGCAGGCCAGCATGATGGACTGGGCGTCCTTAGACAGAACCTGGTTCCACATGTAGGACCTCAATACTGAACTGCTGTCTAGAAGACCAAACACAAACCAGTCATTAGTATTTTTATTTACAGAGGCTGTTTAATCTTTACATACGCCCATAGTTGTCATGTCTCCTTAACCAACTCTGAGTGTTGTTGTTTTATTGCTTTATGGGTGTTGCTGGCTGATTTAATTGCATTGATAGATGCTGCTTAGCAAAATTTTGTTTGTGCATTATGAGAAAAGAAAACATAAAATATCAAAAGTTAAGAAAAGATTATCTGAAGTTGTTGAGTTTCGATGTGAGGACTCGTAAAGTAAGGAATATAAAATATGCCCTCTGAGGATACCTGGCTGTTCGCTCAGGAGGAATTCCTTGTTGTCAGAACAGAAGATTTAATGAGGCGGGAAGAGTTAACAGCTGTTAAAGTCACAGAGGTTTACTCCATGTTTGCTGTAGGTTAAGAGTTTCACTTTGGAAAGAAGTAGAGAACTGATGCTGCTGCATTTCTGTACTGGAGTTCACCTAAAGTTTGCAACTGAACACAGCAAATAACTAAGTGATAAACAGCTTTTTAATTTACAACAATGAAAATGACATTTTAGGTTGTTACAACTATGCAAACTTGTTTCCAGTCCTGACATTTAGGCTCCTTCTGGACAACAGGAAGTGGGTTGGCTCTGAGCATTCCCACTTGACTTGAGACACAAAAACATAATTTTCATAACATTCCATAATCAGTGCATTCCATTTGATATTTGTCCATAATTTAAAGACTATTATTGAAATTCCAAGGATCTCATAGTCTTTAGGAAACCTTTTTTACAGAACTAATGTGGCACAGACCTCTGAGAATGAGGGCAAAGAAGCATCCTAAAAAATTAAACCTCAACAGACATTTCATTCATGGGAGAGTTCCAGGGAACGCCAGCATTCCTGACACTTGAAGTCAAGTTACTTCTCCCTCCAACAGCTTCTCAAAACTGAGAAGCTTCACACAACAATAAAACTAAAGCAAGTTTCAACTGTTTATCGGACAAAAATCTCTTCCAACTACAGCGCCTGTTTCCCACGGGTACAGTAGTGTGTGTGTGTATGTGTGTGTGTGTGTGTGTGTGTGTGTGTGTGTGTAACCGCTAAACTATGACATAAATGCGCTACACCCTGCACATGAAAACAAGCTGAGGCACATCCAGATTGTGACACAGCTGCTAACGTTTGGCTGTCAAAGTCAAAAATGAAGAGCAGATTTAACATTTTTCCAAGTCTGGCTGCTGAAATAACCTAATAAGTTTTTTTAATCAGGCTTATTTATAATCAAAGCACCACAAGTTGTTTTGTTTGAAGAATCGCGTGGCTCAGATGACGGTTGTCACATGACATCCTGTTGAGTCGGCCCCTCGTTTAAGTCACCAGACCGTCTGTCGGCGTGGCCAGTGCTTGTTGTAGCCGTTTTACTGTCATCCTGTTGTAAAAAACATTCTTACAGTAGTTTAAAGTCGACATAGAGCTGCAGTGAGCCACCTCCTCAGAAACTCTTCTGTCATTTGTTTGAGAAAAAAACCTACAAATAATGTGATTAATAAGGGTACATCAAGTAAATATCTAATTAACTGCAACAACCCAGCACCTGCTTAACTCTTGCTTCTTGTTACCTTTGAGCCAGCCGTCCAGGGCCACGTCCACTGCATTCTTCATCACAGGAAGAAACTCAGACTTTAGCAGTGTGTTATGGCTGTTAGCAGGACCTCGCAGCATCCTGCTGTCCCACAGGTCCACCACCAGACGCAGCTGCCACAAGGGGAAGGTCTGCTGCAAGTCGCCCCGTTGCAGGGCACTGACAGCCTGAAAGGAAAATGTGACAGCGTAGGCAAACATCTAGCATCTGTATGACGATTTTAAATCTCTTTAATGGTTTTTATCTTGCAAAAAACAATCTGGAGCTTTTGATCATGGTATACTGTTATTTACTCATCAAAAACACCCCCAAACAGTTCTTTATCTTCACGTGTATTCTGCTCTCTCAGCTGCAGCTCCACCACCAGTAGAGGGCCATGTTTACATCTCCAACTGCACCCCCCTCCCATGCAGTATGAACACTCACGTAAACGGAGTGGTGAGCAGCGAGAGGGTACTGGAGAGGGTTTTCAGACCAATTACTTCTTCAAACTGGCACCATTCCAACGTTAAGCCCACTGGACAGAGAGGCCAGAAAGCTGAGTACAACCAGCTAGCTAGCCACTAGTTTAATTGTTACAAAGTTTGGTGGGCGAGTCGTGCATGTTGCCATTGCTGCGTTCAGCTTTTTCTTTATGGCCATGATGTTTTGCTGGAAATCCAGGGTTATGTCATGAAAACAGGGGGGAGATCACACAGGCGGAGGTAAGATTTCATCTAATACCAGAGTTTTATTTTCTGGCTTTAAAGGATGTCTCAAAGAAATAACTTTTATATTTCAGAACAAATGACATCTCCATAGCACCAACGGTAATATTTTATCATCTGTCCATGCTCTGAAATGTGTAAAATAACATGGGATAGAATATTTAAAGCAGGGTATGTTGTAAGATTAATTGCCGACTGCTGCATAAGCGATCATCTGCTGTCCTCACGCAGCTTAGTGCATGTTTTAGTTGGGTTTGGGCGTTACCTGCTCAATGGCGATGTACGTTGGCAGCATCTCTGGACACTCTTGCGTCACGCATTCGTAGAGCATAGCTGAGAACATGTGGGTGTCCTTCCTCTGTCAGACACAAGAGAGCAGGATTCAGTGTTTCATCCTCTAATAAGAGAAATGTTTGTTCAGATTTCTGTTTTCTTCCTGGAATTCTTCATGGTAAGTTTGCAATATTAAGTTCAAGTAAACATCTGTTGTTATGCACAACCACAGAGAGGACTCGAGTGTATTCTCTTAAATGTATTGACTTTTAAATTGCACAGTCACACTGTGGTGCTATTAGGTGATGTATCTGATTTGCAGCTCCATCAACTCAACAAGTAATAATCCGTTTCTGCGCTCTTTAATTTGGAAGTCGTCTACTTGGTACAAGTTAATTTCATCTTCTTAAATGATTAACTTATTTCCACAAACTTCAAAACCAGGTCACATCAGGCTAAATCAATTATCAACAATATATGAGCTTATTTCATGCTAAATTAGACAAGAATCAACAAACAATCTTACAATTAAATGCTAGAAAACAGTATTCCATCTAAAATAAAATAAAAACCAAAAGGTTGATGTCTAATAACTGAGGTCAGGCTACCAGCAGATGGAGAATTAGAGAGACAGGGCTGATAAAAACATACATTTTGTTAAATTCAAATGCACGATGTGGAAGCTACACCACAGAATAACTTCTTGAGGTTTAGTGTGAAGGATGAACCGACTGACCTCAGTAAACTACACAAACACCTGATGTCATGATGAGGCAGCTGTTTATCAGCCGTGTAAAACTTGGTCAAGAAACATAATCCAACCACTACACTACAGACCTTAATTCAGCATTAGCCAATAACATTAGACATCCGCTTATGTGCAGGTGTCCATCACAGAGCGTGCACACGCGTGTTTGCAGAAGTAACTAGACTCAGCAGAGTTTTGGAGCAGTTTACAAAGACACAGCAAATTATGAAGCAGCTACAACCCGGATTAGACCAGAAAAGGCTGCAGGCAGCAGGACAGCAGGAGAAGAACTGAAGTAGAGCCCAGCAATGGGACTGAGAAACTGCAGAACTCAATGCAAGTAATGCAGCAGTGGGTGGTTTTAAGGTTGTTGTGACAGAGAGAAGCAACACCACCATGCGTTGAAGCAAAGGGTGACGGAGGCGTGAAACTTTTGAACCGTCCGTCAAAAGGCAGCTAAGACCGCAAGCTTGCGATTGGTCAGCATGCCACTTTCTTTAATTTCATAAACAGCAAAGCCACCTTGCCCTAAATTGCTAAAATAAAAACTTTTTTTCTCATTCTAATCATTTCCTGTCATTGATCAAAAACAAGGCAGCTAGGCCACCAACACACGATTACGTCTGGGTTCAGCACAAGACTCACATGTTTCATTCCTTCAGATGTTTTACAGAAGAAATCCGCAAAGGAGATGAGGGCAGGGTTAGAAGTGAAAGTTGAGATGGTTTCAGGCTGTGGACACACGCACAAAATTATTGAACTTGTTCAGCAAAATCTTATGTATAAAATAATAAAACAGTGAGGACTTTGAGAAGGAATGGTGCCTCAAAAATGAAGTTACAGGAGATAAACTGGGTCAAAAAGGGTTATAAGAAACTAAACGAATTGTAAGAGAAGTAAGGAAGGACACTGAGGACAAATGGAGTCAATAATGTTTTCCTCTGCATGTGTTTTAATGCATACCAAGCTCACGAGGAAATTGTCTATTCAAATTTACACGAAATGCAAACACAGTTTAAGATATCAAAAAATGTTGAATTTTCTTTTCAGGAACAAAAAAGGGATAAACAATTAATACGCATTTATTCAGAGCTGGACATGTAACAGTTTCTGTAATCTGCAGACTACCTAAATGTAATATGAAGCAAATAAAACTATCTGGCTAAATCTCTGATTATAGATGCAGTTTGTTCAGAAATACGAAGCCTATAGGAATAAGATACATTCCACCTTAAAGGCTGTGACTCCAGAGCTTCTGTGGTTGACAGCTGTGGTCAGTAGACTCTTCCATCCCTGAGGGTCGTCTTTGTAGGGAAGCTGCCCGGCCCGCAGTTTTACATACAACACCCCGTCCTGGGATAGGATGGACCTGAAAGCAACATTTCAGAAAGTAGTACAACGTTTTATTGAAAGGTGAGAAATGTTACATTATGTAAATGCATCCTGGACAGCTGTATAATTCAACAGAAATACATTTCTCCTTTGCAAAGAATTATTTCCTTACATGTTTCCTCTTTACTTACTTCAGATGATGTGTTTCTTTGCTCAGATCCAGAGTCAGCTCCCAGTAACGAGGCCCCTTCACCTTCACCTACAATGAAGATTTGTAGCAAATGGAAGTGGAAATAAAAAGGAATAATAAAGTTCCATTATTCATCATCACATACAGCTGAAATCACTTCTCTGCATTTGACCCATCCCCATGGGGAGCAGTGAACTGCCGCAGTGGTTGCACTCAGGAACTATTGGGTGGTTTATGTTTATGTATTTAGCAGACGCTTTTGTCCACCGAGACTTACAAGTGATAATGAAGCTAGCAAGTTGCCCTTGAGGCTAACAACAAAATACTAAATCAGTCAATCCAGGTGGCAATGAGGCAGCATAATCAATCATTGAGGGAAGCGAACAAGGAGTAGACAGAGTGAGGGACGGGTGCAGGGAGGGTCCTAGTTTAGAAGATGCTCTCTGAAGAGCTGGGTCTTGAAAATCGACAAGGACGCCCCTGTTCTAGTAGTTCTTGGTAGGTCATGAAAATAATGGATTGTCCTTATGTGGTGTAGGTACTGTTAGCCGATGATCCTGTGATAACCGGAGCGGCCGAGCCGCAACGTAAGCCTTTACAAGAGAATTTAGGTAGATGGGAGGCGTACCGTCCAGGACGTTGTATGCTAGTGTAGCGATTTGAATTGGATGCATGCAGCAGAGGTAGCTAACGAAGCTCAATGAGCAGAGGGGTGACGTGCTCTTTTAGGCTAACTGAAGACCAGACGCGCTGCTGCATTCTGGACCATTTGAAGAGGTCTCACAGTGCAGGCTGGAAGACCAGTTAGAAGGTTGCAGTAGTCGAGGCGGGAGATGACAGTAGATTGCACCAGGAGCTGGGTGGCATGTTGTGCTAGGTATGGTCTGATCTTTCGTATGTTATACAGCACGAAGCAACATGAATGAGCGACAGAGGCGACGTGATCTTTAAACGTCAGCTGGTCATCAATCACAACACCCACATTTCGAACTGCCTTTGAAGGAGCAAAGATATGGAATAATTTTGGATTGAGATATTGTGCTGTATGAATGGTTTTGTTGGGATGACAAGTAATCCAGTTTTAGAGAGGTTGTGTTGGAGATGGTGGGATTTCATCCATCTTGATATGTCAGAGAGACAGTCTGAGTTTGAACCCCCCAGTCCAATCCCTTAAACCTGAGGGTCAAGCAGGGAGGAACTGAGTCTTTGTTATGACCCAACCGGATCTGAACCATGTTCTCCCAGTGCCGGGGTGGACACTACCACTAGGCCACTGAAAAGTTGGTGAGAAAATGGAGGAAAATGAAGGACGAGTTTCACCCCAAGAACACCATCCCCACTTAAATGGTAAAAATGGCCTGTATTTGATATAGCTCCTTCTAAAACCACTGTCAGGAATCTTGGCGTGACCTTTGACCCAGTTCTCACCCTGGATTCTCATGTCAGTTCTCTCGTTCGCTCTTCCTTCTTCCATCTCAGGAACATTGCTAAGCTGAGTCCCATTCTGTCCCACTCTGAACTTGAGACAGTTATCCACACCTTCATCTCCTCACGCTTAGACTACTGTAACTCTCTTTTCACGTGTCTGAGCAGAACCTCCCTGAACCATCTACAGGTGGTTCAGAATGCCTGTGCTCGGCTTCTGACCAAGTCCTCCAAACACACCCACATCACCCCACTTCTCCTCCAGGTTCACTGGCTGCCAGTCAACTTCAGGGTTCAAGATCCTGGTTCTGGTCTATAGGGCCTTACATGGACAAGCACCAACATTGGTGACCTTCTCAGTCCCTACACCCCCAGCAGGTCCCTGAGGTCCAGTGATCAAAGCCTACTGGTTGTGCAGCACCAGGCTAAAGACCAAAGGTGACAGATCATTTGCTGCTGTGGCCCCCAGACTCTGGAGCTCTCTCTCCCTGAGCCTGAGATCAGTGGACTCAGTGGACTTCTTTAAAAAGCAGCTGAAGACTCACTTGATCAAGCTGGTTTTGGTGTGACCTTCATCACCCTCTCCTTGTTCTGCTCTCCCTACCTATTCCACCTTCCTCAGGATCCACTGATTTCCCTCTTTCCTATTCACTCTCTCTCTTTCTTTACATTTTTTTTATCACAATTGTCTATTTTTTGCTCATTTTAAATGTATTTTAATCATTTTCTAAATTTTTTTTTTTACATTTATATTTTTTGTTTTAGTGAAGCACCTCGTGATTTTTATCTTGAGAGGCGCTATAGAAAAGATCTTTTCTTCTTCTAGAGTCCTGGAGCCCCCCAAGGTGCTTTACAACACAATCAGTCATTCACCCATTCACACACAAATTCACACCCTGGTGGTGATAAGCTACATTGTAGCCACAGCTGCTCTGGGACACACTGACAGAGGCGAGTCTGCCATACACAGGCACCACCAGTCCCTCCAAACACCACCAACAGAGATCTGTGTGGAGGAGTGGGCTGTAAACTGGGTCAAGAACTACAGGAAAAGTTTGACCTCTTGCAAATTAAAGCTTCTGTACCAAATATTAACACTGATCTGATTTTCTCAGGTGTTCAAATACGTATGTGCAGCAGTGTAATACAAATACATTCTTTAAAAGCCATAGTGCGATTTCATGAATTTTTTAAATGGCGTCTCTTACAGAGGGAATATCAGACCCCTGTGGGAGATTTTTCAAAATTGCTGAATGTTCAAACACTTTAGTTCCTCGCTGTATCGTATCGCCTCCCCTGTATTGTGATATGTTTCATATTGCCAGATTATTGCCAATACACATCACCAGCTTTAGCTATCTAGAGGAAAGTTTGTACAGCTCTACTCCTGCTTTACCTGTTTGAGGAGGTGAAGTTCAGGAAGGAGGGTGGGAGCCATCAGTTCCACTGTAGTCTCGTTATACCACTTTGTCTCCTTAAATACAGGAAAACTGTCATTAGAAGTTAAACACATGTGCCACAATAATGGTGAAACATCCACGTTATTAACAAATCCCAAGTTCTTCCCAAAAGAAAAGGAAATAATTTTGTTTATTCTTAAAATTAATTAGCATTTTGTGACTCTGTAGGTAAACCTGCACTGTTGCTCTGGCTTATATCCTACCTGAATATACATAATCTTATTAAAGGCTTGCACTTTTTGTCACACACTGACAAATGACCTCTGATGTTTATAAGATCAAGCAGAGTTTTCTGCTGAGAATTAAATTAAAGTCATTGGTGGTGCTAAATACAAACAGCTACTTGTTTTCAACCTTCAACCAGTCTTAGTGTGAGGAAAAGCAGAAATGAGCTCACATTGATTTCACACAGTGTTTAAATGTGTAAAGCCTGCTGCGTAGGACACTCGACATAAGGACAAATGGATGCATTTAAATTCTAGTTTTATTTCTCTCACCAGGGAGGCATCCTGACCAGATGCCCGAGCCATCTCAACTGGCTGCTCTTGATGTGGAGGAGCAGCAAATCTACTCCGAGCCCCTCCCGGATGAATGGGCTTCTCACCTCATCTCTAAGGGAGAGCCCAGCCAAAACTCATTTCGGCCATTTGTATCCGCGATCTTGATCTTTCGGTCACTACCCGAATCTCATGACCATATGTGAGGGTAGGAACGTAGATTGACCGGTAAATCGAGAGCTTCGCCTTCTGACTCAGTTACCTTTTTCAGAATCAAGACCATGGTCTCAGATTTAGAGAATTTTTTTATGTTCTGTTCTTAATTCTGCTGCATTGTTGACTTTAGGTTTCTTTTTTTAACTGTCAATTTTATATTGTTTGATTAAGAGGGCTCTTTCTATCATTAGATTGACTGTCTCACCCTCTCTTGTGTTAAGCAGTTTGGTCATCAAGCCGACATGCTGTTTTCATATGTGCTCTACAAATAGGTCTGGTATGGTATGGTACAGTGTGGCGTGGCGTGGTATGGTATTAGTGTGGCGTGGCGTGGTATGGTATAGTGTGGCGTGGTGTAGTATGGTAAAGTGTGGCATGGCGTGGTGTGGTACAGCTTAGCGTGGTAAGGTACAGTGTGGCATGGCGTGGTATGATATAGTGCGGCATGGTATGGTATAGTGTGGCGTGGTGTGGTACAGTGTGGCATGGCGTGGTATGATATAGTGTGGCATGGCGTGGTATGGTATAGTATGGCGTGGTATGGTACAGTGTGGCATGGCGTGGTATGGTATAGTGTGGCGTGGCGTGGTATAGCGTGGCGTGGTATGGTACAGTATGACATGGTGTGGTATGGTATAGTGTGGCATGGCGTGGTATGGTACAGTGTGGCATGGCGTGGTATGGTATAGTGTGGCGTGGTATGGTATGGTACAGTGTGGCATGGCGTGGTATGGTATAATGTGGCGTGGTATAGTACAGTGTAGCATGGCGTGGTATGGTACAGTGTAGCGTGGCGTGGTATGGTACAGTGTGGCATGGTATGGTATGGTATAGTGTGGCGTGGTATGGTATAGTGTGGTGTGGTGTGGTATGGTGTAGTGTGTCGTGGTACGGTATAGTGTGGCTTGGCATGGCATGGTATAGTGTGGTGTGGTATGGTATAGTGTGGCATGGCGTGGTGTGGTACAGTGTGGCATGGCGTGGTATGGTATAGTGCGGCATGGTATGGTATAGTGTGGCGTGGTGTGGTATGGTACAGTGTAGCGTGGCGTGGTATGGTACAGTGTGGCATGGCGTGGTATGATATAGTGTGGCGTGGAGTGGTATGGTACAGTGTGGCATGGCGTGGTATGGTATAGTGTGGCGTGGTATGGTACAGTGTGGCATGGCGTGGTATGGTATAGTATGGCATGGCGTGGTATGGTATAGTGTGGCGTGGTGTGGTCTGGTACAGTGTGGCATGGCGTGGTATGGTATAGTGTGGCGTGGCATGGTATGTTACAGTGTGGCATGGTATGGTATAGTGTGGCGTGGTGTGGTATGGTACAGTGTGGCATGGCGTGGTATGGTATAGTGCGGCATGGTATGATATAGTGTGGCATGGTGTGGTATGGTACAGTGTAGCGTGGCGTGGTATGGTACAGTGTGGCATGACGTGGTATGATATAGTGTGGCGTGGCGTGGTATGATACAGTGTGGCATGGTGTGGTATGGTACAGTGCAGCGTGGCGTGGTATGGTACAGTGTGGCATGGCGTGGTATGGTAAAGTGTGGCGTGGCATGGTATGGTACAGTGTGGCATGGTATAATATAGTGTGGCGTGGTATGGTATAGTGTGGCGTGGCGTGGTATGGTACAGTGTGGCATGGCGTGGTATGGTACAGTGTGGCATGGCGTAGTATGGTATAGTGTGGCGTGGTGTGTTATGGTACAGCGTGGCATGGCGTGGTATGGTATAGCGTGGCATGGCGTGGTATGGTATAGCGTGGCGTGGTATGGTACAATATGGCATGGTGTGGTATGGTATATTGTGGCGTGGTAAAGTACAGTGTAGCATGGCGTGGTATGGTACAGTGTAGCGTGGTGTGGTATGGTACAGTGTGGTATGGTATAGTGTGGCGTGGTAAGGTACAGTGTGGCATGGCGTGGTATGGTATAGTGTGGCGTGGTATGGTACAGTGTGGCATGGCGTGGTATGGTACAGTGTGGCGTGGTATGGTATGGTATAGTGTCGCATGGTATGGTATAGTGTGGCGTGGCATGGCATGGTGTGGTGTGGTATGGTATAGTGTGGCGTGGTGTGGTATGGTACAGTGTAGTGTGGCGTGGTAAGGTACAGTGTGGCATGGCATGGTATGGTATAGTGCGGCATGGTATGGTATAGTGTGGCGTGGTGTGGTATGGTACAGTGTGGCGTGGCATGGTATGATATAGTGTGGCGATATAGTGTGGCGTGGAGTGGCATGGTACAGTGTGGCGTAGTGTGGTCTGGTACAGTGTGGCATGGCGTGGTATGGTATAGTGTGGCGTGGCATGGTATGTTACAGTGTGGCATGGCGTGGTATGGTATAGTGTGGCGTGGCGTGGTATGGTACAGTGTGGCATGGCGTGGTATGGTATAGTGCGGCATGGTATGATATAGTGTGGCGTGGTGTGGTATGGTACAGTGTGGCGTGGCGTGGTATGGTACAGTGTGACATGGAGTGGTATGGTACAGTGTGACATGGCGTGGTATGGTATAGTGTGGCGTGGCGTGGTATGGTATAGAGTGGCTTGGCGTGGTATGGTATAGTGTGGCGTGGCGTGGTATGGTGCAGTGTGGCGTGGCGTGGTATGGTACAGTGTGGCATGGCGTGGTATGGTACAGTGTGGTGTGGCGTGGTATGGTACAGTGTGGCATGGCGTGGTATGGTACAGTGTGGCGTGGCGTGGTATGGTACAGTGTGGCTTGGCGTGGTATGGTATAGTGTGGCGTGGCGTGGTATGGTGCAGTGTGGCGTGGCGTGGTATGGTACAGTGTGGCATGGCGTGTTATGGTATAGTATGGCGTGGTATGGTACAGTGTGGCATGGCGTGGTATGGTATAGTGTGGCGTGGTGTGGTATGGTACAGTGTGGCATGGCGTGTTATGGTATAGTATGGCGTGGTATGGTACAGTGTGGCATGGCGTGGTATGGTATAGTGTGGTGTGCTGTGGTATGGTACAGTGTGGCATGGCGTGGTATGGTACAGTGTGGCATGGTATGGTATAGTGTGGCGTGGCATGGCATGGCATGGTGTGGTGTGGTGTGGTATGGTATAGTGTGGCGTGGTGTGGTATGGTATAGTGTGGCGTGGTGTGGTATGGTATAGTGTGGCATGGCGTGGTATGGTATAGTGTGGCGTGGTGTGGTATGGTATGGTATAGTGTGGCGTGGTGTGGTATGGTACAGTTTGGCGTGGCGTGGTATGGTATAGTGTGGCGTGGCGTGGTATGGTATAGTGTGGCGTGGTATAGTATGGTATAGTGTGGCGTGGTGTGGTATGGTATAGTTTGGCATGGCGTGGTATGGTATAGTGTGGCGTGGTGTGGTATGGTATGGTATAGTGTGGCGTGGTGTGGTATGGTATGGTATAGTGTGGCGTGGTGTGGTATGGTACAGTGTGGCGTGGCGTGGTATGGTATAGTGTGGCATGGTGTGGTATGGTATAGTGTGGCGTGGTGTGGTATGGTATAGTGTGGCGTGGTGTGGTATGGTATAGTGTGGCGTGGCGTGGTATGGTATAGTGTGGCGTGGTGTGGTATGGTATAGTGTGGCGTAGTATAAAGGGACACAGCCAAAACTGAAACTAAAAAGACTTCTCCGTTAAAGAATAATTGAATAACACAGCATTTAAGGTCTACACTGGCTAAATATACTAGTATATTTTCTGCTTTTGCTTTGCACTATATTTATATAACCTCTACCAGAATGGTCTGCACTTAATCATTCATCGCTTATAAGTAGATTATGATTTTTTTAAGTCAGAAAAATAAACTATGTTTTGTCCCACCTAATGTCAACTGTTAAATTCCCCCTGCCTAACTTCTCTAAATTGATATCATCCTGAAATAATTGAAAATATTTGCAAGTTCCTCCCAGCAATCATCATGGTCCCACGCAGGCATTATACGGGTCATTTCCTTTTCCTTGAATAGAAAAAGGACAATGTGAACTCATTAAATGACGCATATCGAACCGCTGTGATGTTTATGGAAGGGCTGACAATAAACGGGCAAACACAAACGTCAATGGATTCTGTGTTTTAACACTTTGTGTGTTTATACTGGAAACCTCTATTGGACAACCCCCATAAAGGGGATTTAAATATATGATTTGCAAGAAATTCTGTTAGATTCAGTTCCTCACATTAAAAACAACCACTGCTGGAGCATTTAGGAAGCAGAAACATAACTTTCTGCATCATAAACCACTTCTATCATTCTATTTAGTTTATCTATCCGCTAATCACTGTCTTAAACTGTCTTAATACATTTATCTCATCATAGAAACCCATAATTTAATTAATAAGACAACATTTAAAATTATTATCATATATAAATGCTATCAATTAAAACTCAAAAAGCATACCACCAGAAATGTACAAATTTAAAGGGATAGTTCAGCCCCAAGTGAGATTTAAGCCTAATTTATACTTTTCAATCAGCTCCACGAGGGAGAGACACGCACGCACGGACGCAGACGTTTTGCTCTCAGATTTCTCCGTCTCCTGGGGAGTGTTGCAAAGCAATTCCCCGCCAGGACATCTGAGGGCGTAGTGCTGTTCTGTGGTGTCCTGTCACTGTCAATCACAAGCTTGCGTTCTCCGTCTCGTCAGACGGATGTTTAGAAAAGAGAGCTCGACTCTCTTTGCAAGGGCTCTCCAGCAGGCTCATAAGGACAGATAATGGCGTTGCGTGTCTCCGTCCCGACGCAGACGGGGAAGTATAAATTAGGCTCCAGAATTAGATATGTGGGGAAAAGTATTTTGTAACCAGCCCAGTGATTCTCCTAATCTGGCAGTATTCTATTAGCTTTAGCTTAGCATAAACAATGTAAGTGAATTGTAACAGGTAGCATTTAGAGTGAAAAAGCCATGAAAATTATTCAATAATGATTCTAATTTTTCTTGGAACCTCAATAATCATATAAACTGAAAATGAAAATACTGATAAATAAGAAGAAGGAAGTACAGAAGCCCATTCGAACTTGAGACTACATTATGGCAAAACACCGCTGTAAGCTGCTGCTGCAAGGTGGAAGGACAGAGGCCCTAAAACTCGCCGTTTAGTGTCATTAGGGTGAAATGTTGTAAATGTTATACAGTAAGCTACTGCTTAGAAATTACTGAGTGATTTTCATGACTTTTTCACATAAAGTGCTAGCTGTTACCATTCACTGCCATTGACGACAAAAGTCGTCATTTGCATTTATTTATTTTTTTACTGTGAGGGCGTCGGAACAAGCCCCCGCACCGTGAGAACAAACATCCCAGCTCTAAAGCTGGGAAGCAGAAAATCCATGTGTTAGGAGATCGTTTTGGGCCGCTGCTGTATAAAAAGTGAGGCAAGAACTGCAAAAGCTTCTGCTGATCACAATTCGACAACGGATTATGAAAGAACGGATAACGCTCGAAACGCGCGGATTTTTCCTGATGTAAGAGGTGAGTCTCCTCTTTGTTTTGGTAGTTTTGGCATCGACATCATCATAGCGCGCAACGTTCTGTGACTTAAAAAAAAGTAAAAAACGCTGAAAAGCGCTGGCAGCCAAGGGCTTTTCTGATTGGGAATTGGCTGGCAGTGAATGAGTTAACGAACACTGTTTATGTTACGGTAAAACTAACAGAATACTCCCAGATTAGGAGAATGGGGCGGGTTACAAAATGCTTTTTCCAGCTTATCTAACTCTGGGGAATATGACAACAAACTAAATTTCACTTAGGGGTGGAATATCCCTTTAAAATTTGCCTAAAAAGACCCAAAAGCAAAGAACTTTTTGTTCACTTGCAGGCGTGTTTGATGGTGTCCCGTGAACTGACCTTATAGCTGACCTCTAACAGGGCATAGCAAGGTTTAAGAGAGTCCACATCTACCGGAACCAGGAGCCGTGGCTCTGCAGCCAACACGACCAGATGCCGCAGGGCCTGTAAATGATAGCTGCAACAACAGCAACCTTATCTCAGTTCTTATTAAAACACAGGAAACATACAAAAATAATATAAAAAACATTGCCATAGCTGTCAACTAAAGAAGATCCTACAAGTGGTACAAATACTAAGTATTTGTTCAGAATTTTATTTTATTTCTATGGTTTTTCTTCAAAATGTAAATCTATCATTTACACTTAAGCACAATGTAGTCAGTACTTGCATCACAAGATGACACATGACAACTTAAGAAGCCAGACTTCTGCTCAGTTTACAGCAGAAAGGTTGGCACTGGAACACCAATGACATTATTTGTGATTATTTTACCATGCTTTATGATGATGATGATGATGTGTGGGTGATGGTCTTACCGGTTGTCAGTGCTGTGAGCTGGGAAATGTGGATACAAGGCGCAGAGTAGAGCAGCGATGGCCGAATTGGAAGTGCTGATTGTGTATCTAATAGGCAAAAATATAAACATGATTAGAAATAGACTTCTCTCTATAATCTGTAATCAATAAAACCCTCTGCTGTTTATGAATTAAACAAGGTTTTGTATTTAATCAACACTGCCAAAGGAGAAGCAGATGTTCATCAGCTGAGGGTGAAGCATGACTAATTGGATCATTCTCATTGTTAGCTTGGCTAATTAAAGCTGCTAGGGCCTTGGAGGTTGCTTAAGTGAGTACCTAATAGCCTCCAGGTGAGGTAATAAGCGTTGCTCTTGATGACTGTGTCATGTTTACGGCGTTTAAGAGTCTGGCATCATGTTTCCACATATTTACAATCCAAAAGGATTTTGGTTTGTAAGGAAAACCAAATATTTCTTCTTAGAGATCTGAGCAGTGAATCTACAAAACAAAATAAAGCGTTTAGGTTTTTTTTTATCAACTGTGATATTGTGAAATCCTGTTTCAAAAGCTTTTAGTTAAACAGTAATTATTTTAATTCAGCCAAATGCATGCAGTGATGATTGCAGGTCTGGAGCCCACGTGTGGGAGAAAAAAATAAAGATCCAACTTTCACTTCAGTTTCTGGATAAATACAGAATAAAATAGGAAGGGAAATCGACTGAGCAAACAGAAAGAGAGAAAGAGGAAGTCTGATAAAAGGAAAGAAAAAAGCACACACACACACACGATTATATATGGAAAACAGAATGAAAAACAAATGAGGAATAACATGAATGAGAGCTAAGCAGAGATAAGCAGCGAGAGCCTGATTGGCAGACAAGCAGAGGGAGAGACTGAACAAAAAGGACGATGACGACATGACTCCTCTGCAGGGTGACCTCTGCAAAAGAACCACTTCTAAAAATACTCATTTTGATGCTTATCCAAAGCTACAGTCACTGCAGCAGTGCGGGTCATAGGCTGGCAAATTTAAAATATTACAATGTGTGAATGAAATCAAAAGGTCAGTTTAATTATTGCTACAGCTGGTGACACGTGTGTAATGTCACATTAGAGAAACCGAGTCGTTTAGCTGATAATAGGTCAAGGGCAGGAAGCTGAGGATCTAGTTAGAGTCTGTAGATAATGGTATGTACAACACCACACTCAAAGACTCGTGTGCGTGTGTGTGTGCGCGCGTGCATGCAGCAGTCAAATGATGTGAGTGTACATGTAGTCTGCTTCCAAAAAGATTAAGACACTAAAAGTGTTTTCATTTGGGTTTAAGAAGAACAAACCTGTAGCAATGAGAATTGCTCTTAACCGTGTGTTCCGCCCGGAGTCTAGAGAGTGTAACACCGGAGGGTGAGAGATAGACACACATGTCTGATTAAGTGTTCAATAAAGGTTTGCCTCGGACGAGGAAAAGTCAACTGAGCATCTTGTGGAATTTATAGAAAGAACAAGATGAAACAAAACCTGGAGCAGGTGAGGTGACTTAACCAACAAATGCATCCGTAAGTTCAATTAACACTGAGGTATAAGTTATGTGAAATCACAAAATGTTAGAAGATTCCTCAATAAAGTCAAGAAGAAAAGTGAATAAAAGCAGCTTGTGTTTCCAAAACCTAACCCCGGCTTTCCACTGGATGTGTATTTGTTACATAAAACGTAGCAGATAGCTGTTGCTGTAGTCAGCGGGTGTGTTTCAACCGGGCACAATCGGACATCTTGGATGCGTCCTAGAGGGGAATTGTTGCATCGCTATGCAACATTTATGATTCGTGAATTTATTTATTTATTTATTTTACACACTACACTTCCAGGATGAGTCAAGCAAACACTTTTGATTTGGCCAGACAAGAAATCAAACACAAAAGTTGTGTAAAACCAGCAAATTCCTAAGTAAAAGACCAGGGGCCTAATTTATCAAGCTTGCTTACGCACAAAACGGCATCTGAAAACTGTGTAAGCAACTTTCCACGCAAACTTTGGGATTTATGAAAGAAAACTTAGCAGAAAAATGTGCGCAACTTTAAGTTGACTAAGGACCTTGCTTACACACATTTTGGACATGGAGAGCACCTGCAGTGCTGTTGCTGAGAAGGATAAAATTATGAAATCCTGCAGCATTATCACTTGTACTGCTTCGTTTTCACACAGAACAAGACCCCCCCCCCCCCCACACACACACACACACACACACACACAGCCTGAAGCCAGAATGCAGAATATCAGCAGGGGGACAGATTGAGACAGAATGACATGCGTCTGTGACAGTATGTGTCCTGTCACTGTGACCCGATTGATCATGTGCCCTGGCTAGTTGGACAAGGGAGATCTCCGTTTGGCTGACTGGTTAGCACACATGACTTTCACCCGAGAGTCTGGGGATCGAATCCCGGTTGGACCATTTTTTACATCCGCCACAGATCTCTCTGAAGAATTCACAGCATTGACGGCTTTAGCAACGCTGTGCCACTCTGTGGATTTTCTCTTATTTGTTTTGCAAAAGCACTTCCTTTCATTTCTTCACCTCACCCACAAGTACCTGAATTTCTGCTTCTGTGAAATTGCGCTTCCTTGATCTGCCTTGATCTACGGTCGGCATGTCATTGGCGGAGCGCTGCAACAGCCGGCTTATGTACATGCATGAGATTCACACGGCACTTTGCATTGACTATTCATGGCAGTAAGTGGGCGTGGTGAGGGCGGGATGTGACTAAAAAGCAGCTGAGAACCTTTCTAGATAGTTTCTGATTTATGAAGCGGAGATTGCGTGCAGCTGTGCGTACTCCATGTTTGATAGATCACAAACCTACTTGGCGTAAGTAAATTTCTTTTGCTAAGCTTAAGTGCGGCTTTAGTAAGGATTCTACGCAATGTTTGATGAATGAGACCCCAGCAGATTTCCAGTTGCTTAATTAGTAATATATATATATATATATATATATATATATATATATATATTTTTTTTTTTTTTTTTTTTTTTTTTTAAGTACATCCTTTCCAGTAAAACCTGTAGCAGAGGCAAAAAGAACAAAAAATAAACCACAGACTTTTGGATACATGCTGCCATCTTTCTCCTTGCTTATCATGTGAACTTGTGATTCTCCGGTGATTTTGTGACCTTGCAGGGCTGGCAGTGCAGAACGCTCTAGCTGCCAATTTGTGTCTTTGTGGTAAAGAAAATAGGGTCTCTACTACGTTTTGCGCTGCTTACGCACCCAGTGGAAAGTCTGGGTAGCATGTATTTTCTTCTGATGTTGAAAAAAACACCCTGTCCATGTACAAATGTTTTCTTACCTGCCACCTCCCAGAAAGAGCAGACCCAGAGCCATGTGATGAGCCATGTGGAAGCCATAGTTCATCTCGCCGCCCGTTCTCTTGTGAAAGAAGCGACAGAGCTGCAGGACCTTCAGGTTTCCCGTGCCTGCCATCACCATGGACATAGCCAGCAGAATCATTGACAGACATGTTTGCAGGTTGTAATAACCCATCTGCTGGAGGGACTATAACACGTGACAGAGAAGAGCAAGACATGTAAACATCTCAACAGATAAAACGATTCACATATCTTCATAACTTTTAGAGTTAGTTAAGGAAGATGGGGGGGGGGGGGGGGGGGGGGGGGGGGGGACGCACGTACAGCACTCACAGCAGCTGTACCAGCAAAGGGCATCATCTTCATGAAGGTCCTGGCAAACTCATAAAGGCAGTCGAAGGCATCAGAATTGGCGGAGCCGGCAAAGCGTAACCCTAATGCCATACAGGCTCCAGCTGTAATGTAGTCTTCAGCTTGGCTGAGAAAAACATCACATTTTCTGATCAAACATGGAGGGAAACAGAACGACATCACCAACACAGCTGTAGCAGTTCATGACATCAGTGATTTAGTTATAGAAGCTAAGTTTTCAGCATATAACTCATCAGAAGTTGCCTCAAAGCTACAATGGCTAATTTGGAAAACAAGCTAGCTTAAAACGGTTTTTTTTCATGCCTCGAAACAACGCTCTAACATAATACGTCTATAAATATTTTGTGGCGATTGAAAAAAAAATTGTAATAATTAAGTTTTTCTCTCGCATTTGTCTAAAAATCTCCACCGATAACAAAGCTCGGACCAAACCCAACCACTGGACCATCCGGTTGTCTGTCTCACCAAACCATCTGGGGCCTCCACTCATTAGGCGCTTGTGCATTTTGCATCAGAACACCACACGTGGGAGGTTCACGGCTCAATAGTATTAGAGAAACAGCCGGCTGCCACAGCTTCAACTTAAGGACAAACTAAAAAGAAAACCACCAATTGAAGTCACGGTCAACAAAAGACGTTTGGACCTAGAAAACAGTGACTGGTGTGTAGCGCTCTCCCATTTCCTCTGTCAAGTTGGGTTTTTGGTTCTGGCGGACGTGCTGCAGGGATGCCAGCCGACAGGAGGGGAGAGTGTTCGTTGCAGCGTTCGCATTTGAAGCTCGCTTGTTCTGTACAATTGCTTTTGCAGCTTCATTGGTGCCATGAAACTAATCTGAGTGTCAAATTATTAAGAGTATTTTTTTAAAATAAATTTAAACATCTTGTTCACTGAGATGCGTATAAGACTTGTACTTTTTGAAATACAATCTGTCACGCTGAGTTGAATATGCATGCTGAATGTGAAAATATTCTTCAACCCCCATCGCCTGCGTTGACCGCACAAAGGAAAAAGACGGGAAAACGTTCGGGTCAAAAAAAGCCAGTCCTCAGGGAAAATTAGTATTCATGGACTCATCCAATTTGGTTTGCGACCACGTATTTTTTTTTTTTGATGGCCACGACAGAGCAGAGCATGTCTCGGCCAGTAAAAGCTAAACGTTAGCATTAGCAACTCCACAACATGTCAGAACTCCTTCAGGCTTGTTTTATTTGTGGAGATGCAACATCAGGATTGTAGAGCAAGCAGAGGCAGCAGGAGTGTTGTGTTGCTGTTAGCCAATCAGAGGCAAGATGTTGAAATATTATCATGACGTTTTTGCACCCGTTTCGCCATCTAACTCCAACCGAACTGAAACAGGAGCGCCAGAGCTTTTTTTCCATAGAAAAGAAAATTACAAGATATTCATTCACACTGGAGACCGGAGCAGGCTTGTTGGAAATAAATTATTTCAAAGCTTATTTTAATGGTTTTTTTTTTAAATTTGTCGTTTTTATAGATTTTAAATTCAATAACTGGTCCTTTTCAAAATAATTATTTGTTAAAAACACTTAAGTTTGACTGAACCAGTGCAGTCATCAAAACTACTTCGTAGTGAATTTTTAGACACTTTGTAACTGGCAACAAAGTTTTGCCTCTTAGAAGCAATAAAAAATTACATAAGAAATTTGCACAAATGCCCAAAGAAATTGGATTAAATTTGATTTGGTCCAAATACTCACGCCATTGTCTCCATATTAATGTCTTCTGAGGCATCAAAATTCCCCCTCATGATCTAAAGAAAGAGAAAGAAACTAAGAAGTTTTAGTTGCATCTGACTAACAGATATATTTCCCCAAACAAATGCACCTCTATGATTGTACATTACAAATCCGCTCCGCTGCTTCTGTGTTTTCTCACCTGGGGTATGTTGCTCTTGACCCACTCCGAGTTAGGGAGGATTTCATCCCACATGATAATACACCGCGCCAGAGTCTGGTAGTGAGGCAAGAAGACGACGAGCAAGTATGCCAGATTAATGAAAGGTGGGAAAAGAATCATGTCCCTCACACACAGAGAAACACACTGCTGGCGTCACACTAACCCTCAGGAGCAGAAACTCGGGCTTAATGAAGTCCAGCAGAAACCAAGTGTCTGGAGGTTTCAGCCAATCAGCAATCGATCTATTGGACAGAAACGGGATGAGAAAAGGGAGTGTTAATACCTTCCCTCAACACCCTCTCCACCAAGAGGAGGAAAACATCAGCTGAGCCTTGAAGAAATTAGGAACTTCTTGACCAACATACAGTTGGGAGGTGGAGGAGTCTTGTTCTTCTGTAGGTTATGATGCTCTGATGTTCTCATGGATAAGAATTAGCAGAATGTAGCAAACATGAAGCAGATTTAGGACATTTAGAATGATGAGTCAGAGGGAACACTCCATATAATATGACATATATAAATATGCAATATTTGTGGTATATTTTATACCAATGCAATTCCCTTTTCCAGGCTGTTTTCCTGATATTTATTAGTTTATGGGTGAGAATAAAGAAATAAATCAATACACACAATACATTTGAGCAAATGAACAGTGATTTAGCAAAATAAACAGAGAAATAACAAGCTGCACATGACAATCAAATCAGCAATGAGCCAGATGAGTCAAAGCAGCAACACAATCTGTGACAATATCATATAAGGCTTTTTAGATTATGGTACTCATCGCAAGCAGAGAAATTTATATTAATTGTGATGCACAGCTGCATCAACTGTAATTTAATATGTTATGTTCTTTATCATACAAAATCTACTTTGTGGAGCTTTGACTATGTTTTATTGTTATTTCCTCAAGAAAAACACCCCCATAAGGTTTTTGGCTTCACGCATGCATTTTGCCTGTCTGCTGCAATTATTAGCTGGTGTGCCCAGCAGGCTGCATTCAACTGGATGGGGTTGTTGCTGCATCATCATGACCTGCACGTCCCCATCTAGGTAGTCTCGAATACGGACTCCTCCTACCCTGGACTGTAAACCTGCTTGGTCTCTCTGTTTAGCTAGCGGAGAGTTTAATCTCCATAGTTGCGAAAAAGTGATTCCTTTCTTATCTAGTTTGCAATGTAAATAATGCAAGAACCAAAAAATTTAGTTTTATCTGCAAGAAGAACAGGATCCCTGTCCAGACTTCCAGAACACTTGGCAGAAATGATTGGATTTCATCTTCATGGTCTATCAGAAACAAAGCCAGAATGTGATCGTGATTTCAGACTAGTTGTTAAACCTCCGCCAGTACCGAAGTGGATTTTCAGACCGATTACTTATTCAAATCGATGCCATTCCAACAGTAAAAACCACCCGAAATAGAGCCAGAGCTGAGTACAACAAAAATGCTACTCACTAGCTGAATGGTAATAAAGTTCAGGGATGACTCGAACAAAGATTCAGGCTGGGTATCTGCTACATCTCAGCCGCCTTTTCTCCATTCATGTGTGTGTGTGTGTGTGTGTGTGTGTGTGTGTGTGTGTGTGTGTGCATGTGCGTGTGAGAGAGAGAGAGAGCAGCGCGACAGGGGGGCTAAGTTGATGGTGATGATGGTGAATCTGCTGTCTCTGGGTCTGCAGCTGTGTACTATTGTGGAATTTGCACGGGGGAACTGGGACTTCATCAAATCCAAGCGTCTAATTTCCAAGATGAACGAGTGGGTCATGAAAAAAAATTTTATTTCATAAAAAATGGTATCCCAATAGAGCCAATGGCAATATTTTATCACATATTTTGCCTTTCTTTGCTCTGGAAGGTGTAACATAACCTGACACTAGCCCTTTAAAAAGTAGGTGTGTGTACTTTCATAGAGTACACGGCATTTGTCTCAAATATAAGTGAACAGAAAAAAAGCTGGAAAATCTTTTCATTAGCACCAAGTAAGGAGCTGCTTAATACAGTTTTAAAGAGATTCTGTCTTTTTGTGATGGTCAACTATGAATAACTTCTATTTTCTCACCTGTTGTTGGTTTTGAGGTAGATCATAGCGAGGGCCAGCGTGGCCCCTGGACATGTGACATCCACATTTATCGTATCGCCTTCCTAAAAACCAACCATAAAGTTAATTAACTAACAGGTGTTTTGTCATTTTGTTGTGTAATAAGGTGAAAGCGTCAGAATTCAAACACGCCTGTGATCCTTAACTGGTGCACAGAGAAGAAAGCACATCAAATGTTATGATAGCTAAACGAAGGAGAGGAACTTGTATATTTGGACAAACTGAGGTAGAGAAAGATTTATGCACTCACTTTGATTTGGTAGCTGGGTGACTTGTGTCTCTCTCGGTTGGCTCCAGCTTGAGCTCTGCGATGACCCCCCACCATGTACTGGTACAGCTGTTCAGGCACGTTAAGGTCCGTCATCCCAATCAGGTTGCTGCCATGCTGAAAGAGGAAACAGATATGTAAAGCATGCAATGACACGTTTCTTTCCCTTTGGGCTTGTCCCTTCAGGGGCCTCCACAACAAATCTTCTGCCAACATAAACCTCCTTTTACGTTCTGCCTGGTGGCTCCAACCTCCTCTGTAACCATTGTCTCTCCTCTGGATATGTCTAAACTAACAGTCTGACCTGGACCTTTTCTCCAAAACATCTAACATGACCGGTCTCTCTGATGTCCTTATTCCTGATCCTATACATCTCCGCCACTTCCAAGTAGAATCTCAGCATCTTGAGCTCGACAGCTTCCAGTTCTGCCTCATGGACACGGTCTCTAAACCAGACAACATGGCTGGTATCACTACTGTCTTCTACACCTGTCCTTTCATTCTTGCTGAAACCCTTTTATCACACATCATTGTTCTCCACCCATACCAACCTTCTTCACACACTTCTTCACCTCTTTTCAACCCTTTCCATAGATTTGGACTATAAACCTTCTTTACCTCTGCTCCCTGTAACATCACCGTTCCACTTGTGTCCCTCCCATTTACTCACGTGTATTCTATCTGGCTGTAACTGATCTTCATTCCTCTATTTTCCAGTATATATCTCCACCTCTCTAGCTACTCCTCCACCTGCACCCTGCAGTCACTGCAGATCATGTTGTCATCTGCAAACATTATAGTCAATGGAGACTCCTGTCTGACATCTGTCAGCCTGTCCACCACCAAAGTAAACTAAAAGGAGTTTGGAGCCAATCCCACCTCCACCTTGAACTCCTGTCACTGCTACAGTACACCTCACTGCGGTCTCACAGCTCTCATACATGTTCTGCACCACTCTTCTTCTCTACCACTTCAGTTCCTCTCTCAGCAGCCTGTCATGCACTTTCTCGAAATCTAAAGCCAATGCAGATTGCTTCTCTGCTCCAACACCTGATTCAGTGGTTAAATCACCCGTTCAGCAGCTCATCAAGCTCTGCAGAAGCCAGTTAATCACCTGCTGATTAAAATTAAGTGTTTTGAAGCAGTGAAACAAGAAAAACATGCTAGATAGTGGCCTTCGAGGACCAGGATTCCCCAGCCCTGACCTAGTCAAAAGTTCTACTGCCAGCTCTGCTACACACCTCCATTCCTCCATGGTATGTCATCGGGTCTAAGTGCCTTTTCCCCTCTTCATCCTGTTCAAAGCTTTCCTCACTTCATCCTTACTAGTCCGAGCTGCTTCCTGTTCCACAACAGTCACATCATCTTCTCTGTGACTTCCTGCTGATTCTTCCTCTTAACCTTTTCCTGCTGCTATCTCCACCAATCGGCCTTTCTCAGGATCCCGCCTTATTCATTTTTGTCCTCTTGATTTTGTAGGTTAAATGTTTCAATTTCCCCCATTTTTATGACTTTTTATTTATTTTTATACATTTTTTGTTGATGATGATGTTGTTCATGATTTTTATCTTGAGAGGCACTATATAAAAATCGTTTCTTCTTCATCTACATTCTAATTTTCCTCATTCATCGGACCTCCAAAGCACTCTTTCCATCTTCCCATCACTAACCTGGTACCCTATCACCCTATCTAGCAATAATACTGAAAACGTCAATGAATCAATATTCTTCTGCACGAATCCCTGTGATAATAAAAATATCAATTTATTTTGCCTTGATTTCAACCAATACCGCTTCTAAATCTGAAGTGTTGTACATGCTGATGTTAGATCTAAGTGGCTTACCCCAAGACAGACCATACCCAGAGCGAGTCCAGCAGCTAGTGAATAGGACTCTCTGTCGGTACAGTACTCCATCTCTGGACCAGGGGGACGGCCTGGAATAAAGAAGCATGAAGAAAAGGGACTGTAAGCAGCTAAACTTACACAGCAAACTGGTAAAATTGACACTGCTTTAGATGTGGTGTTTCAAGGTTTAAAAGTGCATTGTTGTAATGTTCTACATAGGAAAAGTGCACACACACACACACACACACACCTATCTCTGACAACAAGACTTCAGCATTGTGTCTGTGCCCAGTCCCCTGGTATACCAGTCCGACACCAATTACAGCAGCAACCTGAAAAACAAACAGTGGGGCAAAGGACTTTATGCTGCTGAACTTTTGACGGGACCTATAAACACATTGTTTATATTTTGCAGATCTGAATGAACGCAGAACACTCATGCCCATCATGACTTCTCACCTGAACATTGTGCGGCACATCCAGCTCAGTGGAAGTAGGCGGGAGAAGGGCGGGGATGTGAATGCTGAGCAGGCGGGTGGTCGACATGTCCATGGTGCCCAGTTTGGCAGAAGAAACACCCAGAAGGAGTCCAACGCTGGTCATCTCATGGCCCTTATGGACACAAGGACACACAGTAAGGACAGCAGAATACTAATGAAACACACGATCCAGGATTCTGCTGCATGGCGCTAGATTCCTGCATCCTAAACACACGGAGAAAAACTATTTACCTCCAGCGTAACACGTTCATTACCTCAAAGCACGACTTTGGAGACTAAGAAAAGCAATCATCTTCCACACTGGATAACTGTAACAAACAGCTTTCTGCAGACTCGAGTTTGTGTGTTTGTTTAACAACAACAGCATGAAACACCTTCAGCATCAATACAAACCCTCAGCCGGACAAAGTAACATTTTAGCTTTTGCTACAAATGAAACTTGCTGATTGAATTACCTTAGTAAGCTTCATCTGAACACTTTAGGCTAGAACTATACATGCTATAAACTGTACACACGTCAGTTACTTGTTAATTTTTTTGGCATCAAATAAAAAAAAGTTGTTTTTTTTTAAAACAAGGATTTTTCTAAAATTCATAAGATTATTAACATTTTTATTTACACATCTTGTAGAAAACACCAAAACATGTTGAAGCCGTGATCACAAAATACTCAGGATGTTAACCAAACCATTTCAGTGTAAAAAACAGGTAGTTTACAAGTTTAGCAACACAACTCCGTTCTCTGAAAAACCACAGCAATGCACAAATCTAATAAAGCCATCTATTATACGTCTATAATTTATCTTTTACAGCGAGGGTTGAAACAAGAGAAAACCACCACCTACAAGCAGGCTTCACCATAAACCACGTTCACAACTGTCATTCACAAAGGTAGCTGTCGGATACATGCACGCTTCGCTCTCGACTTCACACTGTTTGCCGTTTTGTTTTTGGGACGACAAACTCAGGGTTTGTTGAGCTGCAGAAGTCTGACAGGACACCATTTCCTAATAACATATTTGGTTATTTGGATTTTTTGTTGTCAGCATAATGTAAATAACATACAGGATGAAACTGTATTTATGTATAAATCAAAAGCACTGAAATAATTAGCAAATAAAGCCTAAAATCGTTTTAGAATCCAGTACAAGGTCCTTTTATGGCATTCTAAATCTTTGCATGGCTTTGCTCCTCCTTACCTCTCTGAGCTACTGGTTTTTTACTCCCTGCACAGTCTCTGAGGTTGTCTGATTGGATGCTCCTGGAAGTCGTAAAAACAGGGCGCAAGCTCGAGGTGACAGGGCTTTGTCTGTAGCTAGGCTCTGGAGCGCATTAGGTTGGCCTCTTCACTGTCTGGTTTGAAATCTCTTAAAAACCCATTTTTTAAGGTTTGGCTTTTAACTCAGCATGAGAGTCTTTTTAGTGTTAGTTCTTAAGCTTTAGTTTTGATGCATTTTTATGTTGTGTATCGTTTTTAATGTTTGGAATTTCTGTGAAGCACTTTGGTCGGTTTTATGCTGTTGTAAGGTGCTATACAAATAAAGTTGGCTTGGTTAAAATCAAACAAAATGAGAAGCAATAACGTTGAATAGATAATAGTCTTAGTTTGGTCTTCTGGCAACATCTTGGCCTCTACAAAAACGTTTTTGCTGAGAAAAAAAATAAGATCTGGTTTGCAGCATCCTGTTTTTCTCACCTGAAAGTAGGAAAGAATAATCTTGTTTCTAATTTCTCAGAAGCCAGAGTTTCAGTTTGACTAACTGCTTGGCTTTGATGCTACACAACATCTTTCATTTACACTCATTTAGAGAGAGAAGTGAGCTTGCTGTGTGTTTGCAAGGTAATGAGAGTAGAAGGGTGCTTCTTCTCATAACCTGAACTTTAAATTTGCCATTGCACACAACTTCATGTGTGTATCGTTTGATGTGATCTACTGTAAGAACTACGTGGCTCACACTGAATCAAACATGTGTCTATAAGTTCTCTGGAAACGTCTGCCAATATCGCTTCCTACTGAGTTGCAACCAATCAGCATGAGTTCACCACAAGTCCCGCCCCGCGACTCTACCAGGCCATTTTCGAGGACATATCCCAAGGCTAGTACTTGGGTGGTTCTTGAAAAGTACCTGGAAATGGTCCTTTTGGGCCAGATCAAAGAAACGGAGACACGTGCATGCCGCAAAGGTCCAGTAAAATTACTCGGACTGTTTTGATAGTGGAAACAAGCTTATAGTACGTCTTCATGTGGGTGTGCGCAAACCTTGGTGAGGTAGTCATGTATGTTGAGCGTGGCCAGCTTGGTGAGGTGACCATTCAGCCCAAGAGCCATAAGGAAGCCTGCATACTCATTAGCCAGCTCAGGACTCTTTGGCTTGTTGTAGGCAATCCAGGCTGAGTCCACCTTAAGAAGAAAAAAAATTATTTTTATGTATAGAAGTCTAACAGAGGTTTTGTTTACCACCAAACAACGATAGAGCAGAAAATAAACCAAAACATCCAAAAACATTAATCGGTGCTTGAATGTGCTCAATCAGAAGCTTTGTTTTGTAATTATGGTTAGGAATGGTTATGAATATGTATCATTTAGGAGACACACACAGTGATATTTGAACATCATTGTTGTAAGAACCAATGCCTCAGTAGTGCTCCACAACATTCTGGACCGTAATCTGATCAGGTCTGACCTATTTTATACAAGTCTGAACTATTGCAATAGTTTTAAATACAAATGTGGAAATAATAGAAGGCCATTATGAAATAAGATTAGTTTTTCTGATGAATCCAAAGGATTTTATTAAACGTAACAACTATGTGTTGCAAACGTTTCTCCATGATTTTACTCGTTACCTGTGCTGTAACTTCCTGTTTGCAAACAGCAGACAAAGAAAAACAAAATACGCTGCAGGCGGCCTATCTGATAGGGCTCCAACCACTAGGTAATTATTTATTTAACTGCACTGATAATAAATAAATCATCATCTACATATATGTTTAAAGCCAATGCTTCTTAAACAGAGCCTTCAATAGCCTGCTACAGTGATGTTTTAACAGCAATGTGCTCCATGAACACATGAGGGCAGTATAATCTACTAATGGTAGCCTAGACTGCAGACAGCCCAACCAGAGAAGAACTTCTGAGGAACAGGAGACGGAGGAGATTGTATAGTGAAAACTAAAGATGGCGAATCTAACAAAGGAGGATGGAATGGATGTAAATACATTTCAGACAATAAAGGTGTGAGAGCACTTCACTGAGAATGTAGAGGGTGAAAAACAGATCTTTATCTACACGACAGAAGCTCTTTAATACATGTGGAAAACAATCCCCCTGCAGCTGTGATGCAGCCGTGTCTCGATATGCAAATAGCAAGTTATCGTGTTCTGTTGATGTTTTTAATTTTGTTCGTACTGTAATTTTAATCTCAAGGTCTCATCGTTAGGTCAATATAATCTCAGTTATGTCTGCTAACATGCTAGGAGTTATGGTAAAAAATCATCTGTTTTGTTTTTGAGCAACTAAAAGAGTAAATCACTAGTAAACCTCCTCTAAATAAAACAGTTTAATTTTAAATCATTTGTTATCCTGGTCATTATTTTGTTTTGCCATAGAAAGTTGTATCTGAATCAAAGGTGGACAGATTTGAGCAGGTAAGATCTGCGCTGGAGCACCGGACACCGTCCAAATTTTTGATTAATGCAAGAAAACGTGTTTGTAGATTTTTTTAAGACAAAGCAAAGTCTATCTATAGACAGCTGTACACGAGTTCATGAGGAGGTGGTGAAATCTCAGACTAACCTGTGAAGCTGGAGCTATTTTAAGTCCAGCTGCTACTCCGTTATGGAAACTGGGCCAGCTTGTCATGTTGGGAGGAACATCAATATTCCCACTGTTGAGATCGACCATAGTATTCCTCGGAGGAGCACGACCTGAGGTAGGAAAGGACATGAAATTAAGAATATCAAATACATATGATCTCCCTGCCGATTATCCACACTAATGGTGATTTTCAAAAGATCTAAATAAATCCAAGTCTTGTGTTGAGATAAAAGCACTCGAGATTCAGTTCCACCTTAATACCTGTTAGATTGAGTTTTGGAACAGGCAAAGGCTCTGTTAACACCGGGTGGTAGGAGAAGAGGGTGAAAAGGCCTCTGCCGACAGGAAGAGCCATTGTTCTCTGACACAACTGAAGCAGTCTGAAAAGGACAAAATGAAAACAGCAGATTAAAGAAGTCAAGAAAAAAGAAAACAGCAGAATGAATAAAATATTTACCCAACAAAAAGTTTAAAGACTTTTAAAACTGTAAACCTCACCGTCACCTGGCCGTTTGAATATTCAGATCAAATAACTGCAACACATTTGTAATGAACTCACTTATTTTCTTTCTCCTCGATGTACTCGTGGTCTGAAACCTCGGGTAGTTGTACTACACTGACCCGGACCGGTCCAGAGCTCCGGAGGAGCCTTCTTACTTCCTGGATTCGAAGATCTTGGCTCCAGATTAGTCCTGTGACCTGATGAAGACACAGAGGGAAAACAACATCAAAACTTTACTCTTAGAAGTTTGAAGAGCTAAAAAGTGTTCTGCAAAGCTTAAAAAAAAATAATAATAATAATTAAAGCTGCAAGCAGTGTCGTTCGGCCCTAGCAGCTCCGCGCCGCTCCGGCCTGGCCGGCAGTCTGGTGCACCCGGGCATGTCTGCAGAACATAAACATCGACCACCCCGACACCAGAAATCGTGAACGGTCTCCTCATCTGCACCTCACCCTGACTCAGCATCTTCTCTGAGCCCACCATTAAATTACACATCTAACCAGTAAGGGATACTCTTACCACACTGATGTTGTGACACAGACCAAGTTCAACGCTATTCTGACCACGTTTTTTGAAGTCATTGAAGGTTAACGTTATCTAGGGGACGCTGTGACCAACTACAGAAAAATCCCATTGAGGTCAACTTTGGTTGACAAAGATGGTCTTCTGTTATTTTGGCATCAATCAGACGTTGTGTGTGTTATCTAGAGCCAGAGAGCCGAAAGGGGGTGGGGCTACAGGGGTTTGAACCAACAACCACATCAATGTGTTTGGTGCAGTCATATGACGACACAAGCCAAGTTTAATGCCATTCTGACCTTGTATTAGGGAGTAATTAACTCTTAATCTTATCTAGGGGGCGCTGTGACCAATTACATAAAAATCCCATTGAGGTCCTCTTAGGGAGTCAAAGATGGTTTTGTGGTAGGTTTGCATTAATCAAACGTTGCATGTGCTTTCTAGAGCCAAAGAGCTGAAAGGGGGCGGAGCTGAAGGGATTTGAACCAACAACCACATTAATGCGTTTAGTGCAGTCACGTGATGAGACAAGCCAAGTATGATGCCATTCTGACCTTGTCTTTAGAAGTTGATAAAGTTTGAACCCATCTAGGGGGGTGCTGTGACCATTTACAACTAAATCTCATAGAGGTCATCTTTGGTCATCAAAGATGGTTTTCTGTTAATTTGGCAGCAATCAAATGTTGCACGGGTCATCTAAAGCCAAAAGGCTGAAAGTGGGCAGAGTTAAAGTGATTTGAACGAGTGAGCACATACATGTGTTGATTGCAGTTGTGTGATGACTCCCACCATGTTTGATATAGTTTGGAGCTTTTTTGCAGAAGTTACAAAGGTTTTATTGTATCTAGGGGCACTGTCCCAAATTTAGGAAATATTCCATGAAGCAGTTTGTAGGTTGACAACAATCATTTGTGTACAGTTTGGTGTGAATTGCATCATGCATGTGTTATTCAGGGCCTAATATCTGTCAGGGGGCGGAGGTAAAGCGATATCAACCAATGACCATAGGATTGTGTTGGGTGCCTTTGTGTGATGACATAAAGCAAGTTTGGTGCAGTTGTGACCTCGTCTGTAGGAGTTATTACAGTTTTAAAGGTATGTGGGGGGTGCTGTGGTGATATTATACAATGTTCACCAACCATTTGTGCCTCATTGGTTAAAGAGCATGATTGTTGATTGCCATGTTTGGTCTTGTGCAGATCTGAGGCTGTTTGCGGAAGTTAGTCAAACTTACAGTGGGGCAAAAAAGTATTTAGTCAGCCACCGATTGTGCAAGTTCTCCCACTTAAAATGATTACAGAGGTCAGTAATTTTCATCATAGGTACACTTCAACTGTGAGAGACAGAATGTGAAAAAAAAAAATCCATGAATTCACATGGCAGGATTTTTAAAGAATTTATTTTTAAATCAGGGTGGAAAATAAGTATTTGGTCACTTCAAACAAGGAAAATCTCTGGCTCTCACAGAACTGTAACGTCTTCTTTAAGAAGCTTTTCTGTCCTCCACTCGTTACCTGTATTAATGGCACCTGTTTGAACTCATTATCTGTATAAAAGACACCTGTCCACAGCCTCAAACAGTCAGACTCCAAACTCCACTATGGCCAAGACCAAAGAGCTTTCGAAGGACACCAGGAAAAGAAGTGTAGACCTGCACCAGACTGGGAAGAGTGAATCTACAATAGGCAAGCAGCTTGGTGTGAAAAAATCAACTATGGGAGCAATTATCAGAAAATGGAAGACATACAAGACCACTGATAATCTCCCTCGATCTGGGGCTCCACGCAAGATCTCATCCCGTGGGGCCAAAATGATCATGAGAACGGTGAGCAAGATTTCCAGAACCACACGGGGGGACCTGGTGAATGACCTGCAGAGAGCTGGGACCACAGTAACAAAGGTCACCATCAGTAACACACTACAACGGCAAGGAATCAAATCCTGCAGTGCCAGACGTGTTCCGCTGCTGAAGCCAGTGCATGTCCAGGCCCGTCTGAAGTTTGCCAGAGAGCACATGGATGATACAGCAGAGGATTGGGAGAATGTCATGTGGTCAGATGAAACCAAAGTAGAACTTTTTGGTATAAACTCAACTCGTCGTGTTTGGAGGAAGAAGAATACTGAGTTGCATCCCAAGAACACTATACCTACTGTGAAGCATGGGGGTGAGAACATCATGCTTTGGGGCTGTTTTTCTGCTAAGGGGACAGGACGACTGATCCGTGTTAAGGACAGAATGAATGGGGCCATGTATCGTGAGATTCTGAGCCAAAACCTCCTTCCATCAATGAGAGCTTTGAAGATGAAACGTGGCTGGGTCTTCCAACACGACAATGATCCCAAACACACCGCCCGGGCAACAAAGGAGTGGCTCCGTAAGAAGCATTTGAAAGTCCTGGAGTGGCCTAGCCAGTCTCCAGACCTCAACCCCATAGAAAATCTGTGGAGGGAGTTGAAAGTCTGTGTTGCTCGGCGACAGCCCCAAAACATCACTGCTCTCGAGAAGATCTGCATGGAGGAATGGGCCAAAATACCAGCTACTGTGTGTGCAAACCTGGTAAAGACCTATAGTAACCGTTTGACCTCTGTTATTGCCAACAAAGGTTATGTTACAAAGTATTGAGTTGAATTTTTGTTATTGCCCACATACTTATTTTCCACCCAGATTTACAAATAAATTCTTTAAAAATCCTGCCATGTGAATTCATGGATTTTTTTTCCACATTCTGTCTCTCACAGTTGAAGTGTACCTATGATGAAAATTACTGACCTCTGTCATCATTTTAAGTGGGAGAACTTGCACAATCGGTGGCTGACTAAATACTTTTTTGCCCCACTGTAAGGTCACAGCATCGCGCCAGAATTCGCCATGGCGTCAAAGCCCCTCCCTTTCTGGAAAGCTATCAGAACTGAATGGTCATTACAGCATCATGAAGAAAGTGCATGACCTTAGTGTCATGTTGACAAAATTAGAGAGAACAAATATGGGCATTTCACCATAAAATAATCGACTTCCTGTTGTCAGGGGGCGGGGCTTAGGTGATGTCAGCTGTCCACATTGTCATTGTCTTGAGATGTGGTCAGTGATCACACAGACAAAGTTTGGTATGGATCTGATCATGCACATGGGAGTTATTACGTCGAGTAATGTAATGGCGAAAGGTCAAACTTTGAGGCTTAGCCACCCCCACACCTTTCAACTTTTGAAAAATCCGACAGTTGAATTTGTTCCCCTATAGCTTAAGAGTATATAACAGAAGTCTGAAGGTGATTGGTCAAAAGGGCGACGGGGCATCATTCTCCAAACGTGTGCAAAAACCACTAAATCGAGTACTTGGACAAAAATGGCTGACCTCCTGTGCAACTTTGCACTTGGCTCCAAGAGACTTTTTGTAGGTCCTGAAACACTACATTAGTGTACCAAATTTCGTAATCCTCAGTCAAAGCACGGCTTGGGGCTGACAGTTTTAATGGTTCTAGGGGGCGCCATTTCAGAAAATAGGCCACACCCACAAACCTTTCACGTCCATTTCTATTGGTGGTCAGACTAGCAATATCACAACTGAGGAAATGAAAGGCAAACGTATTTCCATGGCGCAATGGCGAATTTCGCCATGCTCCCAAAGCCCCGCCTTTTTTCAAAACCTGCCAGTACTGGAGACCAAGTGACCTCAACTTGTCTACTGCTATTTGCCAGAGATTGCTGGTGATTGGGTGAAAGGAGTCCAATAGGGAGCGGTGAAAAAAAGAGTGGCGTGGCAACAGGTCAAAGTTTGAGGCTTAGCCACGCCCATGCCTTTCAACTTTTGAAAAACTCGACACTTGAATTTTTCCCCCTATGTCTTAAGAGTATATAGCAGAAGTTTGAAGATGATTTGTGAAAAGGACGAGGGGGCACCGCTTTCCAAACGACGTGTGTGAAAACCACTAAATCGAGTACTTGGACCAAAATGGCTGACTTCCTGTGCGGCATTGACCTGGGCTCCAAGAGACTTTTTTGTAGGTCCCAAGGCACTACATTAGTGTGCCAAATTTTGTAGTTCTCAATTAAAGCACAGCTTTTGACTGACCATTTTTATGGTTCTAGGGGACGCTATTTCAGAAAATACGTCACGTCCACCAACCTATCACGTTAATTTCTATTGGGAATCAGACTAGGATCACTCACCAGAGATTTTGTGGTGATATCATGATAACTGAGGAAATGAGAGGCAAATGTATTTACATGGCGTGATGGCAAATTTTGCCATGTTCCCAAAGCCCCGCCTATTTTTGAAACCTGCCAATACTGGAAACCAAGTTACCTCAACTTGTCTACTGCTATTTGCCAGAGATTGCTGGTGATTGGGTAAAAGGAGTCCAACAGGGAGCTGTGAAAAAAAGAGTGGTGTAGCAACAGGTCAAAGTTTGAGGCTTAGCCACCCCCACACCTTTCAACTTTTGAAAAATCCGACAGTTGAATTTTTTCCCCCAGCTTAAGAGTATATAGCAGAAGTTTGAACGTGATCAGTGAAAAAGGCGACGGGGCACCATTCTCCAAACGTGAGCAAAAACCACTAAATCGAGTACGTGGACCAAAATGGCTGACCTCCTGTGCGACTTTGCGCTTGGCTCCAAGAGACTTTTTTGTATGTCTTGAGACACTACATTAGTGTACCAAATTTCGTAATCCTCAGTCAAAGCATGGCTTGGGGCTGACAATTTTAATGGTCCTAGGGGACGCTATTTAAGAAAATAGGCCACGCCCACCGGATTTTCACATCAGATTTTTTGGGGGGCCGGACTAGGATCACTCACCAGGGTTTTGTGGTGATATTTTTAGAAATGACAAAATGGGAGGGAAATGTATGGCTACGGCGATACGCCTGACTTTGCTGTGCCGCCACAGCACCGCCCTATTTTGAAAACTCCCATAAAGTGACGCCAAGAAACAACCACTTGTCTTGAGTTACCAGCTACAAATTTGTGGTGATTAAGTGAAATGTGGCGATTTGGAACCTATCACAGTAAAACTTGACCTTTTTGATCCTGATGGGGCGGGGCTAGTGTGATGTCATCATTCAACCCTTCAATTTAGTTTGTGGCTGGATGTCGAATGACCACAGACATTCTTGTAACTACTCTATTTGAGTATGAAGTTATAGCCATTTATATTTTTTGGGCGAGTAGTCAAAATTCAAGGCCTGGCAACGCCCCCTGAGCATATACGAAATGTCAGTTTTATTTTTTCTATTTGATCGCCCATGCCTTCTGAACAATTTCTCACAACTTTCGAGACGATTGTGTGAAAAATGATAGAGTAAATCAATCAGAAGCGGACCCTAGAAACAGCCAAAATGGGGTCAAAATCACCACTTCAAACCAAAATGGCCGGGCTCCTGTTTGATGTTGACCATGGTAGCAAGAGGCTTTCCTGTGCGGACTGTTGAGTACTACAAGTGCACAAAATTTCATAACTGTATGATAAACTAAGCTTTATGGAGGGGGTATTTTTCACATTCTAGGGGGAGCTGTGGAGCAAGTTTTATTGCGATTTTTTTGGGGACCTTTAAAATACTAAATTTTACACCACGCCTGACATGTGTGCAAAAATTCCTGAGTTTTCAGGTATGTTAAGGCCTCCAAAAAGCCAATTTACTTGGCGGGCGAAAAATAAACAGCAGATACAATAGGCCTTTGCAGCGCTTTCGCTGCTCAAGCCTAATAATAACATCAATGGTCCAGTTACCTCTTGAATTATGTCTGACATCCCATCTTCTTCCTCGTCTGGTTCTGTGGCTACAGGAGGCTCCAGAGACAGACCTGAACTAACAGACTAGAAAACAGTTCAAATTAAAAGTGTTCTGCTACAGCAACAATGAAGAACGAAGATAAACTATAGTCTACTCAGTTTTAAAGCTGAGAGGCTGATGACTCTTAACAACTCAAATTATTTTAAAGGGGAACTAGGCAGTTTCGGCTTGCTTTTAGCACCTCGTAGTGTCTGTAGAACCGGAAGCAACACCTACCTCCTCACTGTAAGTTTGTCTTTTCAACACCTTAATCTAACAGCTGAAATGTCTCCCCAGCCTTCATCAGTGTCTACTGGAGTGATTTATCACGAAATGAAACAAATCAGCAAGTGTTTACGATCTAAAACATGCAGGAAACGTGCTGAAACCAGACTGCAGCACCAGGTATGTCAGCTCAAATTTTTCTAAGCCTCTGGAGCTTTCTGCCCCGAGGTTGAGATTGGAGGTTTCAGTGGTCTCCTGATGGCATTGGCATGACGTTCTATTCATCCTCTTCTTCCTCACTAGCTTCTTTTCATGCTGCCGTTTTTGTCAATTCTGTATTTTTCAGGCTCCCGTGTTTACTCTTTCATTTTTATTCTTGTTTTTTAATTGTAATTTTACTTTTTTTTCTACAACTGAAGAAATTTCTGGATCATTACCCCTAAAGCTCTGCTTTAAATTAGTAAGAACTCACAGCTTTGCTCTTTGCCAGGGTCATCTTGTGAGCTTGTTTGGTCAGGTCCTGTCGCCCAATCAGCAGACACACTTCCTCTGACCAATCAGAACATGGCTGCTCACGACATCGATAGATGGCCTCTCTGATGGGCAACGCCACACCAAAGGGGACAGACTCCAAGTCTTTCAGGGTAAAACCTAGGCCAGTGACAAGGGAAGGAAGATGTTTTCAGCCTGGTCCTGAATCTGAGAGCTGCAAAAATGTTCCTCTGTGCAAAGAAAAAACAGAAATATAAATGTTTCTCTTACCCTGTGAGGCGAGCCAGACGACAAGCTGCTCAGCCAGACTCGCACTGGAAAACCTAACCTTCACACTGCTCTGTCTAAAAGGACACACATGACCATCAGTGACACAACCGATGGGAGAAAACACAATTCAGCAGATGGAAATATTTTGGAATAATTTAAAATATTTAAAAGTGCCATCCTAATCTCGTTTCTGTTTCAATTCAATCGGATTTAAAAACAAGAGAAAAGGTAAAAGAGTTTAATTGAAAAAAAGTTACACAGACGCTAAAATAAAAAGCAATGTCATGAAGTTTTCATTACCTTCTCAAGTATGGCTCACTTGCACAGGACTTCTGCCCTAAAACATGAGAGATATAGTAAAAAGAAACAGCTCGTGTAAGCTCACATGCTTCTGATTGTGCCCTTCTATGATCTTATCGTTTTCTGATCAAAATTGCTATTTCAGATCACCGTCAAAGCTGCAGGTTTTTGCAGCACTCCTGGCTGAGTCAGAATCTGTTGCGTCAACTATTTCACACATACCAGTGTTGTCCCCAGGTTTTTTAAGTCTTGGGAAAGGACTAACAGGCTGATTTGGGGGATACCGTAATAAGGCAAGGCAAGGCAGCCTTATTTATAGAGCACATTTCAAATACAGAGGCAATTCAATGTGCTTTACAATTATCAGGACAAGAAATGAAAACAACATAAAAACACAAATTAAAATACACACAGATAGAATTATAGTTTAGAGCTAAAGGAGAAGACAGTTACAGGGCAGATTACAGTGGAGACGACGCATGATAAGAAACAATTCATTTAAAGGCTGATGGGTACATTAGGGATTTAGTTTTGTTTTAAACAACTTTATGGTTGGGGCAGATCTGAGGTCATGGGGAAGCTGATTCCATATGTGAGCAGCATAGTAACTAAATGCATCCCCGCCTTGTTTTGTTTGGATCCGTGGTTCTACCAGCTGACTTTTTCCAAGTGATCTCAGAGCTCTATTGGGTGTATATACAGGAATGAGATCGGACATGTATTTTGGTCCCATGCCATTGAGTAATTTATAAACTAGTAGGAGCACTTTAAAATCTAGTCTGTAGTTTACTGGTAACCAGTGCAAGGATCTAAGAACAGGAGTGATGTGCTCCGTTCTCTTAGTTCTTGTTAAGACTCTAGCAGCATCATTTTGAACAAGCTGCACAGATTCACAGATTTTTTGGGAAGACCAGTTAGGAGATCATTGCAATAGTCCAGCCAACTAGAAATAAAAGCATAAATAAGTTTCTTTAAGTCTGGTCTTGACATGAGACATCTGACTCTTGATATTTGACGAAGGTGAACAACACGATGCAGAATTGAAAGCACAACTCCCTTCTTTTAAAACTACTTTCTACTTCTTTCAAAAACTATTTTTCTGAAAGTATAAACATTTCAAATTATTTGGGTGCTGCAGAACCATTAATGAATGTCACGTCATTTTATTTATCTATCCTTACTTTTCAATTTCACTTAAGAAAATAGTTCAGTTTTCCTAATTTAGGATCAACTTTTAGATGGTGATAGGTAGCTCTATCAAAGCAGCAAGCTGGAGTTCCTTCCCCTTCAGGAATTATGCACATTTTTTTTAGAACTCCAAAAAATTTAGTTTGACTCTGTTGTGTGATTTTTAAGTAGGCATTATTTAAGTATTTTTGCAAAGCCCACCCCATCCCGTAGAGCCCTATGCAACTGGAATGGAGCCTTGCTCAACATTAGTCAGTAACGCTTGGCATCTGCTCACGTACAGATGTCAGTCACAGAGCATGTGAGAATTTGCAGAAATACCTAGGGTGTTTCTCAATGTCAAGGCGCCTCGCGGTAGACCGTGGCTCACGTCACATCACGTGACACGTAAGTAAAGTTACGTTTGAATATAAATGTATAATGAGCCTTTTACTTTTCAAATTTGAGCACATATTGGTTAAACTAAATATGTAAACGAGTTAGTACCTGCTAGCCACCAAAGCTGCAACTACTGAGCAACTAAACAATCATAGACAACGGCTTAGTTGCATTGTAAGTAAACAATTAGTTTGCTTACATTTAAACTGGAAATTTGCCCCCGCAGTAGCTGCTGCCAGGTCCTGATCCACCATCCTTTTGAAAATATTGTGCTGTATTCTGCAAAATTTTTGACCAAGGGAAGGAAACAAGGCACCTCCCATGTTTCCTTGGTCAGCTAGCTAAACGGCTAACAAACAGAGGACAGACACCTCAGTAGCACATGAACAATGGAACGGTTCCTGATTATGTATCTCCTTGGCAACCAGTGTGGGACCAAGGAATCAAGGCAAGGTTCCTTGACAATGACAAACTCCCATAGACTGATGCAAACTTGGCAACGTTTTTTAAGGACGATATTTTAAAAATCTATGAATAAACAGCATAACACGAGAATAAAAATGTAAAACAATGTGTTTTAGCTGTGTTACCCATGTAGAGGTGCACATTCATTAATGAGAGGTGTTGCTTCCAGCTGTAATCAAGGAAGTAGGTAGTGGGGTACAATACATATTACTGCCTCCAGATGGTGCCTTCTGAGAATCAACTCCAGATTTCAGCTTTCAGCCATAAAAGACTGACCTACTTACTTGAATGTAAGCCCCTTTTTTTCTTTTATTTGAATGTTTGAATTTAGTATTTTCTAACTTTAATATTGTTCCCATTTTAATTTATTTTAATTTACAATTAAAGATTTTTGTATGGCTCTTTCATTTATATAACCTGCCAATGGTCAAGAACTACAGAAAAACTACATAACTTTATTACCAGTGGCAGTTCTCACATCGCCCACAATGTCCGGGCTACATTCTGTCGTAAAGATCAAATACCTGCACTTGGAGCTATTGTGGGTTTTTTCACAGCAAACTAAGAGGTATGACTCACAAACCTTCTCAAAGCATGGCCCTGAAGCAGAGAACTAGGGGACTGGCAGGTAATATAGTCCGCTTGTCAAAGAACACAGAGGGACATAAACTGTTGGAAATTTATTAAATAAAAAAGCAAAATGACCTACAGTGGGATGAAAATGTTTGGGCAGTGTTTCCTGTATAAATCGTTGGTTTTCATGATAAAAACATTTCAATTAAATATATCACATAGGAGACACAGTGATATCTGAGAAGTGAAACAGCTACCTATAGAAACTACCCAATAAAACTGAGGTAACAATTTGCACCGATTCTTCCAAGGTAATTTATACCCCATATATGTAAATAGTACCTTATATTCAAAGTTAAGAAATACCTAAAGGAATTGGGTAAATTCTAACTTATTAGTAAAGATTACCCAAATTTCTAACTAGAAAATAATATTGTAAATTAGACACACGTGTCGCAGATTGGATCGATCCTGCAACCTTCTGCTTACTGAACCACCTGCTCTACCTTCTGAGCTACATTGCTGAACAAGTCAACGTTAGTATAAAAAATAATTTCTTCAACCAAAAGCAATACAAAACTAGCATGTTTCTGTTTTACAAAAGTTGAAATGAACTTGCATTCAGGCGAGGAGGTTGATTCTTCAGTGTGACATATTGGAGGTGTGACGTGAGTGTGTGAAGAGTGTCAAATGCATGTGTTTCACGCTCAAGGCATGAGTTGGCAGCCCAGTGGTAACTACTTGAAATGTAAAGCCATTACAGCACAGTACTGTAAACAGATACTTAGCCAACATGTACAATTGTTCTTTTTGTAATAAAATAAAACTGGTATAATTAACTCATTTTTCTTTATTTCTGTCGAAGATATTTTGTCACATTTAAGATTTTTTTTTTCTTTTTCAAAAACAAATCTGTTTTCTCAGCGTAGGATTTACAGAAAGTGTACAATAAATGTTAAAACACAATTAGGCAGGTGCATAAATTTGGGCACCACAAAAAATATAAATTAACTTTATTTTTAGTAGATCCTCCTTTTGCAGAAATAACAGCCTCTAAAAGTCTCCTATAGCTTCCAATGAGTCTGGATTCTGGTTGACGGTGTTTTGGACCATTATTCTTATAAAAAAAAACATCTCTAGATCAGGTTCGATGGCTTCTGAGCATGGACAGCTCTCTTTAACTCACACCACAGATTGTCAATAATATTCAGGTCTGGGGACGGAGATGGCCATTCCAGATCATTCAACTTGTTTTTCTGCATGAATGCCTTTGAGCAGTATTTAGGGTCGTTGTCTCGTTGAAAGATCCAGCCCCGGTGCAACTTCAGCTCCCACTGATTCCTGAACACTGCTCTCCAGAATTTGCCGATATTGAGTAGAATCCATGCGTCCCTCAACTTTAACAAGATTCCCAGTCCCTGCACTGGCCACACATCCCACAGCAGGATGGAACCACCACCATGTTGTACTGTAGATAGCAGGTGTTTTTCTTGGAATGCTGTGTTCTTTTTCCTCCATGCATAACACCCTTTATTATTCCGAAATACCTCAGTTTTAGTTTCATCAGTCCACAGCACCTTATTCCAAAATGAAGCTGGCTTGTCTAAATGTGTTTTAGAAAACCTCAAGCAGCTCCGTTTGTGCTGTGGGTAGAAAAAAGGCTTCCTCTGCATCACTCTCACATACAGCATCTCCTTGTGTAAAGTGCATCCAAATAGTTGAACGATGCACAGTGACTCCATCTGTAGCAAGATTATGTTGTAGATCTTTGGTGCTGGTCTGTGGGTTGACTAACTGTTCTCACCAGTCTTCGCTTCTGTTTACCTGGCATTTTTCTTGCTCTGCCACTTTGAACCTTAACTTTAACTGTGCCTGTGGTTTTCCATTTCCTCAGTGTGTTCCTAACTGTGGAAACAGACAGCTGAAACCTCTGAAACAGTTTTCTGGATCCTTCCCCAAAAGCAAGATGGTAAACAATCTTTGTTTTCACGTCATTTGAGTTGTTTTGAGACCCCGATGTTGATACTTTTTCTACTGTGAGTGAACATTCAAAGAAGAGGGAAACTTACAACTGGCCTCCTTAAATACTCCAAACCAATTTTGATATCATTTGAATAATTAGTTCTAAAGGTTTTGGAATCAATACAATGACAACAGTGCCCAAGTTTATCCACCTGCCTAATTTTGTTTAAACAATTACCGCACTTTCTGTTATTCCTATAAACTCTGTTTCCCTTCTCAAATATCACTGTGTGTGTCTCCTATATGACATATTTTACATAAAAATTTTTAGCATAACAACTAACGATCCATAAAAGAAAATCATGAAGATGAACAAGGCTGCATCCTACTGTATGAGCCTAGTTTAAAAGGTTCTGGTATATTTAGTCCCAAGTGTGTATGGAGACATAAAACAGCCCATCAGACCAGAGGCGGTCTGCATTTTGAGCAGAAGGTGAAGTTAGCTTAAAATAAAACAAATGACTCTCTGACGTCTGAAAAAAATAAATAGTTCAGGTTGGATGTATTTTTATGTTTACAATATATAAAAGGCGAGGAAAGTAAAATTTAAGCGTTTTAAATCCGTTTCTCTGGTCAGCATCCAGTAAAACATACCTGCTGAGAGCTTAAACAGGTATTTAGATTCGCTTGATGAGGTGGCTTTGTCATCTCCAAAAATGTAAAGGGCATAACTCTGTAAAAGAAAACAGAAATAAACAATCTTATCAATTATTTGTGTGAAAATTAACGTAACACAATTGCAGCACTTGCTCGTTAAGATCGCATGCATGTTTGCCAGCGCATAGGGCACTTCTTTATGGTCAATAATAAAATGTGTTTCTGCAAGTTTTAAATAAGCTGCAATTCATCGAGGCTGTTAATCCCTAAAGTATCAGATTTACTTTGAGGAAGATTAAAGCGCCTAAATATCTTAATTAATACTTTGCTGCACATCAAATTTTTAACCAGTATGAAGCCAACTATGATCTGTGTGTTTCATCCTAAATTGTAAAAATAATGTTTATCATACCAGAACCAGAAGCCTGGTTCTTTGACAGATGGCTGGCAGGTAAGGAAAAGGTGTGTTTTCATCCCCTCTCAAGCAGCTGCTGAGCCAGCTGAACACACATGGAGGCTTGGAGAGCAGGAAAGATGGACGCTGCATCTGTTCAATCACAGCTTAGGAGGAGCAGGTGTGGGGGGAAGGGGGAGATGAAAGGAAAGGCAACAGAAGGATAGGGCAGCAGAGGATAAAACCATAAAAAGTTAGTAATATTCTCCTCAGAAACAGGGAAAGTTTATTTTTATTCACATTATTCCTGGGCTGGCTGAAGTAAAAACGATAATACGAGCAACATCCGGTGAGATACCAGAAGTAGCGCATAGCCATTGGCTTGCATAGTGAAGTTTCGTTGCTAGTAGCAGTTTATTTCAACATTTGAAGAGGATTTTAAAAAAGGTTTGCCCTTGAAAAATGTACTTGCAGGCTCGGGAACATGCTGCGCTGTGGTTTAGTTTATGTCTCTAAAAAGACCATAAAAAGTGGAGTGCACAAATGGAGCACATCCTCAATCTATGGTCGCTAAACAATCACTGGATCGCAAGGGGTCAAGGGGGCTAGGAATAAGGTGGATATAGATACAAATATTCATAAATGGGGTTCATACCCTCCACATATCAAAACATTTATTTGGAAGGGTTTCACAAAATGCCCCGTTGGTTTCCTGTCTAAAGACGATTAAAAGTATTTAAAGTAGCAATGTGGAGGTTTCCCCCATAGGGTTTAGGAAATTGAGTGCTTTAAGAGCTCAATAAATATATTACCTCTACTTATGACCAATAAGCTGTGATACTCTATCCAAACGTAGAACATCAAATCTGCTTGGTCTTTACTGTGTTTATCAGAAAATTCTAGGATTCTTTCTTTATTTAGGAATTGTACACACTTCGTTTTGATTCAGAAAAGAGTCAGGTTTATAAAAGTAAGAATTTATTTTACAAACAATTAAAACATGACAAGTTAACTAAGCATTTACTGTGATGGATGGAACTAAAGGTGATGTATGAACCTAGGTGTGAATGTGGTGTTAGTCAGAACTTCCTTATCTAGGAGAGCTGAGTTCTGGATGTAAAAGAATTTGGTTTGCGTTAAGCTATGAGGTTGATTATTATCAAAACCCATCAGACGCAATCTATCATGTCTACGTACCCACTCGAAGACCCTCGTGATAGATCCGGAATGTCGAAGTCCTCTGACTTCCAGGCACCGAGGTCCGTAGAAGAAACTGCGGCACTACTAAACCGGTCTTAGAGTTGTCTCCAGGTCACAACAGACAGATGGAACCGCACGTCTGGGACTCTTAAAGAGTCTGAGCAATATCAGCTCATTCTGCAGGAACTGTTTCTGTATCAGCTTTGCAGGTGCAAAAAGGTTTTGACGACGTGCCAAAAGCTTTGATGGGTTAAAGAGGTGTTGCTTCAGCTGGCCAGTCTGAAACTTTCTCTAAAACTGAGAGATCACCCGAGAGTGATCCAGTTTTGATGTTCTCATGTTATGATTTGTGTAGTCAACCAAAGGTTGGCAAGTTGAGTAATGGTTACCAAGACAACCTCAGAAACATGCCTTCTTTGATACGGAGGCTCTGACTAGGGTAAAAGACTATTTATGTGTCACGAGTTCCACTTAACCTTACTTGTTCTTGTGTGAGTGCAAGTGATGATGACCTTGCCATATAACCATGCTGCAACATATTTCAATCACTGTAGTCACAACCATAATATTCATTTCACACCTGAGTCATTGAGCACAGATTAATGAAGCATTTCATTATATTATAATTATTATAAGTAGCAAAAAAACAAACGTTTATTTAATGATTATCTAGCTTATAAGTTGCAGAGGAGTTCATATTTGATTTAGGAAATAATTCTTGATTTAGCAACTGATCCGAGCTGCGAGTGTTCCTTATATGGCATGAAGACCTGAAATATTGGACCTTGAGGAGAGAATGCTATTGTTGACATTTCATTATCTGTGTTCAGAGCTAAAGGCTCTGAGCTGATGGGATGAAGGCAGGCCAAATTAAAGGGAACACATGCAGTCTCGTGTCTTTTTGACCAGATGTTGAATGGTTAAACTCTACCTAAAAACTGACCATTGCTGGACGTTATACCCCTTTCATGAATTATGTATAATCCTTTTTAGAAATACATAAAAGTGATATGATGTGATAAAATGGAGGACATACATCTTTTTTTCAGGGCTAAGCCCACCCCTACCTCATCCAGCTCCAAGTTGAGCCTGCTCAATATTAGCCATAGTGTTAGACATTAACTTACGTACAGATGATGTCAACCACAGAGCATGTGCGAGCATTTGCAGAAGTACCAAGACTAATGCAAAGTTGATGACATTTTCTGTGGCCCAATCTTTAAAATACATGTTAGGGATGTACATATTTAACCGGGTAAAATAGTTTAGCCCGGTTAACTGCCAGGTCATGTCTTTCCGCTGTGCTGGGGTGTAATATATTTTGTGGCACCAGAGGGCAAGAGAGCGCCACTATCAAAATAACAGAAGAAGAGCTTGTCACATGATCAAATAAATTTACTCAACAGTAAAATGGTTAGGAAAGTGCCCAGAGCCTGAGTTTACAGTTACCTGAGTATTAACCGTTTAATGTCTTCAACAACCGATTAAACAAATTTGGGAAAATGTCCATCCCTAATACACGTTTATGAATAAACAGCATAAAGTGAGAATACTAATTGTAAAATTATGTGTTTTAGCTCTGTTGCCCAGCTAGAGGTGCACGTTCACAAACTCAAGTGTTGCTTTCAACCATAATCACAGAAGTAGGTGGAGGGCCTTAATCATTTTACCACCTCTAGATGGTGCCCTATGATAAAAACAACTCCAGACTTCTGCTTTAATATCTTACCATGGTCTATGGAGCAGCACTTAGAGAAACCACTCATTACCGATGGGTAGTCCCTCCAATACAGATCAACATACTCCTCCAACTGAAGGTCTCTGCAAATGTGAACAGAACAAAAAGTAAATTTAAGCATAAATGGATCAAATCCGTAGAAAATGTGGATGACAAGTTTGATTATCCAGTTAAACACTTTCATTATTGCAGGCTCGTATCTGGTAATTAACAGGCTCTGCTATAGCACAGGTAGACACCAAATAGTAAAAAGTCATTAGCACTATTCCAGAAATAGTCCAACAATCCTCATCAGCTTCTGTGGCATTTAACATGTAAATGAACATGAAGCAAAAGTAACCAATTAAAAATAATTACCGAGGTTTAAATCTGATTCATAATCAATACTTTATTATTCTAGAAAAGATAAATAGGTACTTTCAACAACTCAAACAAAACTATTATTTTACAATTAGAAACGGTTCTTCGAGCCTCTACATAGCATATGAAACTTTGTTGAGGCTCACAATGACCGAAGAGCCCTCATAAAAGGTCAAACAGCTCCATAAATCAGGCCTGCATTGAAATAAATGGTTCCCTTTCAGTCTATTCAATCGGTACAACGAAGGTACTATGGGACATCACGCCCTCGTGTGGCCTGGCTGAAGATACATTTAAACATGCCTGTAAGGCAAATGAAAGTGACGCTGCATGGAGGCCCCGTCCTCCACTTATGAACGGCCACGTCACTGTCATTCCTCAGTTCTTACGCTCTTCACCTTGCTGAGAACACATCTGTCAAGTAGCTGCGCTATTGAAAGATAGCTTAACCACTCACTGACTGGACTCTACTGCCTTTTGGCTAGCATTCCCGCCCACCGAGCGCTATCTTTCGTGGCTCGTCAGCTTCTCCACTTCGCTCTGCTGTGTGTCTCGCAATGAGCACCGTGTCGGACGTCGCTTCACGAAAAGCTGCTTCGCGCTCCTGTCCTCAGGGCTGTGGATTCTCTCTTCATGAGAAGGACCTACATGAAGCGTGCCCGGTTTGTCTGGGAATTCTCTACGCCAGGAGAGAGCTTGTGGACCCAGAGGCGTGTGAGTTCTGTCGCTGACTCCGCCGTCCCACGCTCGAACGGCACGTGAAGCTCCAACAACGTCTCCTGGGAGATGCTGCAGTTTCACAGCAGGACCCCATGTTTTCTCGTTCAGCCCTGGCTTCGCCCGGCTCTGACGTGGACAGCCTAGTGATCGATGTCTCTGCTGCTAGCTGGGCAGATCTGATGGAGATGGCGGACAATTTAACCAGACCAGACCTAGAGGCTTCTAAGTTTCCTCCTCTGGCAGAGGATGAAGGAGACATTTTGGACATTTGCCCCGACGGTCAGGACTTACTCGAGGACGAGGAGGTGTTCAGCTCCGGCCACTACTTCAGCCTCCGAGCTGCTAGATGACACTTCTTTTCAGACCTCAACGGCGCAGTAATGGTGGGATTGGTTAACCTCCCTCCAATGGAGCCCTCTCTCGCGGCTTACCTGGCTCCGACCTGCAATAGTGGACAAACTAATCTACCCTCCAAGCCATGCCGCTTCTCAGCTGCACAACTGGAGAAGATTTACCGTGCTCAGGCATCCACTGCCCGCATCCTCAGCTCTTCCACCATGCTCCAGACCTACCAAGCACTTTGCCTGGCAGACCTTGGAGCAAGGGTCCCACCCGACAGCCCACTGACCCCCTCATCAATGAGATACGAGTCACGTCGGACTAAATCCTGCGAGCGGCCCGAGGCATCACCCTGCTGTTGGGAAGAGGTATGGCCTCAAATGTAGTGGCTCAGAGACACTTGTGGCAGACCCTTTCTAATGTCCCTGACAGGGACAGGGCTAACTACCTGGACGAGCCTGTTTCACCCAGTGGTCTGTTTGGACAGTCCCCCGATGCTATTCAGACAAAGTTCGAGGCCTAGCGGAAACAGACTGAGGCGCTACGCTCCATCATCCCCAGGCAGGAAGGGTGGCACACGACACCTGGGTCTGACAGGCAGAACCTGAACTCTCCTCTTCCACCTCAGAGGACAGCCTCTCCAGCGGCAGCGAAGGGCTCAGTCAAGCTCAGACCTCATCTTTCCCTCCTCGCCACTCCGCCTGGAGTAAAGGCCCTCCTGGGGACTCACAGAAACACTCTGTGAGCCACAAGAAGAAACCTCAGTCGTCCTGATCCCGGGACCCACCTTGTTTGGGTTTTGGACCCTGTTGGGCTACAAAAACCCAGTTTTCCATGGTTGAAACGTACCGGTTCAGCTACGGTTCAACCCCACAGTCCAAAGAGACTTTGTTTACAGCCCCCAGGGGGCGAGAGTTGTTTTGTTTACAAAAACATGCACACAAATGTAATAAAGACTGCTGTTTGCACTCGACAATGTGTGGATGCAATGTGTCTCAACAATGCTTCTCAAATTGGCCCCATAAAGCTGCGTCAACCCGCTCCGCTGGTGAACAACGGCTCAATTTTCACATCAAATCCTGTCTGCAATCGGCCTCTGTGGGAGCGGGAAAAGCTGTGTTCTCCCGCTCTACTGGAGAACAGCAGCTTTCCTCCGGTGGCAGACATGATGTTCAGAGTCTCCCGTTCCGCTAGAGGGCAGCAGCTCCCCCACCAGGGTGCTGAACAGTTGCCTCGCGGCAAAACTTTCCCTCTGGTGAGCATGTGCAGTGTCCCCCTGGGTCGAGCGCACGGTTGCCATGGGTTACCGACTGCAGTTCCTGGTCAAACCACCCGTGTTTACCTCTGTTGTACAGACGTGTAAATACTGACGCTGTGGTCGTGTTATGGGAGGAAATTCACTCTACTGTTGAAAGGAGCCATTCAAGCGGTCCCTGTTGAGGACACAAACCAAGGTTGGTAGAGCCGCTACTTTGTTGTCCCAAAAAAGGGGGGCGGACTTCGCCCTATTTTGGACCTGCGTGTGTTAAACAAGTATCTGCACACATACAGGTCAAAATGCTAACACTCAAACAGCTACTGGATACAGTCAGTCCCGGAGATTGGTTTACTATGATCGATCTCACAGATGCTTATTTCTATGTGGGAATCCACCCCGATCACAGGCGGTTCCTGCTCTTTGCTTTCGAAGGGAAGGCCTACGAGTACACGGTTCTGCCTTTTGGGTTAGCTCTAGCTCCCCACACCTTTTCAAAATGTGTGGAAGGCGCACTAGCCCCCCTCGGAGGAGGGCATCCGGATCCTCGCTTACCTGGACGACTGGGCTCTAGTAGCGAGTTCCCAAACACAGGCAGAAGCTCACACTGCACGGGTACTTTCTCACATTCAAGCCCTGGGGTTTTCCGTGAACTACAGAAAGAGTTCTCTAGTTCCGAGTCAAGCCTGGTTTATGCTTCTCCGTCAGCTCCGCAAGGGACAGACACGTACAGATTGACGGAAGCGTTTTGCTCTCACACTTCTCCGTCTCCTGGAGAGTGTTGCAAAGCAATTGCCCGGCAGGACAACAGAGGGCGTAGCGCTGTTCTGTGGTATCCTGTCATGTATCGGTCCAAGATCGTGTGTTTATATTGTGTTTTTTGTGTATATAAGAGACTTTTAACGCGGACATATTTGTCTCTCATTCTCCCACCGCTTCATGCGCTCCCCACCTCTAAACCCACGTTCCCTGTCATTTCCGTCCACAAATTAAATGCTTGCTGCACATCTTTTCACTCCTCCAGTCACGGGAGGATGAAACGTTCATATTTTTAGAGTTTTTTCGCTAGGTATTCTTCAAGCTTCTCCGTGTCTGCCGCTAGTTATCCTCGGCTCTCTTTGCATTGGCGGCGCTGTAAACAACAGCGGCGTCCTGACCAATCACAAGCTTGCGTAATCCGTCTCGTTCGACGGATGTTTAAAAAAGTGGGCTCGACTCCATACGTAGTTGCGTGCCTGCCGAAGCCCTACGCAAGGACGGATAATGGCGTTGCGTGTCTCCACACTGACGCAGACGGAGAAGCATAAATCCGGCTTCAGAGTTTCTCCTTCCTTGGGCTGGAAATTTGCTCTCGGTCAAGCAGAGCGCATCTCTCGGACCAGCGAATAGCCGCGCTACGCAGTTGCTTAGCGCGCTTTCAGCTGGGAGCCAGACTGACACTCCGCACAGCTCTACAGCTGCTGGGGATGATGGCTTCCTCCATAGCTGTGATGCCTCTCGGACTGTTAAAAATGTGACATTTCCAGCGTTGGGTCCGCTCTCATCATCCCCATCCTTCACGTCATCTCCGCCGGAGGTTGATGGTAACCAGAGCCTGCACAGTAGCTCTCCTCCCTTGGTGAGAACCAGGGCTGTTCTACCAGGGTTCCCCTATCGGGAGGGTGTCAGAATGCATTGTGGTGACCACAGACGCTTCCCTCAGAGGCTGAGGGCTCTGTGTGGGATTTAGCTGTGAGGGGGGTATGGTCCTCAACCCAGTCAATGTTCCATATCAACTTTCTGGAACTGTTAACAGTGTTTCTGGCCCTGAAACACTTCAGTCATCACCTGAGAGGACAACATGTGCTGGTGCACACAGACAACACAACTGTGGTGTCATATGTAAACAGACAGGGAGGAACACACTCTCTTCCTCCACTGAATCTGACCCACACATTGCTGTACTGGTGCAATCTGAATCTGCTGTCTCTCAGAGTAGCTTATGTCCCCGGGTACCTCAACCACGGAGCAGACTTGTTCTCTAGGGGCAGACCTCTGTCAAAGGAATGGAGGCTCCACCCCAAGGTGGTGTCCCAGATTTGGCTGAGGTTCGGCAGGGCAGTAGTGGATCTGTTTGCGTCAAGCGCAAACGCACTGTCCCCTGTTCTTTTCCCTGATCGATCAGACTGCTCTAACGGGATCGGATGCTCTGGCGCACCCTTGGCCCAACGTTCTCCTCTACGCTTTTCCGCCGGTGGATCTGATTTCAGCAGTACTGGAGAGAGTGCGCATGTTGAGCACGTCTCTGATTTTGGTGGCCCCTCTGTGGCACACAAAGCCTTGGTACCCGGGGATCATCAGTCTGATAGCCCCCCCATGGAAGCTCCCCATCAGACAGGACCTTCTGTCTCAGGCTCAAGGGGAAGTGCT